CGCCTGTGTCCCCCAGACCAATGTGTCTCCATGGCTACAGTTGTCAGCTCCACTGAGAATTATTAAATTCAAATTCACACCAGGTTAGTGTCGCACCCAGACATACTCTGCCTGGAGGCCAAGTTCACTCCTGACTGCTGGGTCCATGCCAGTTGCTGGACTGAATTCCAGGGCGACTTCCATGTCACCTCCCCTTTATGTGCTCTCCTCTCCCCTCTGCGCCCCTCTAAAATGGCACCCCTCCTCAAATCACTCCAAAACCAACCTTAAGCCCGACCTGCTCCTCCCTTTTTCTTGTGTCTCTAAAATTCCTGCAAATTATACATATGTATTCATCACAAATGCATCTGTATCCTCCAAATTTTATGTGTGTGTATATATATTATATACATAATATATATATATATATATATATATATATATATATAATTTGCCACACTGCTATGTATGTGTATGTCCACAGCTAGATACCCTTTACTAAGATTAAAGCCCACACCCTGATCAAACAGTACTGGACTTGCCGTGGACACCACTGGCCCTGCCTCACCCTATGGCCCTATAACTATCCCTAAATTCCAATTGGCGGTAAATTATACACCAGCCTTCCTTCCTTTTACTACTGATTTTTTTTTTGGTTAAGATTTTATTTATTGGGCCTCCCCAGTGGCGCAGTGGTTGAGTGCTGGGTTGTGAAGCTGCCCGCAGCCTCTGCGGCGCCGGTTCCATCCCCAGCTGCTGCCCGGCCACCGGAGGAGGGTCCCACATGGCGCGCAGACCTCTCCTGCCGCCCGCTGCTCCCCTCAGCAGTGTCCTTCGGTCCTTCTGCCTGCTCTGCTCCCCGCTCTGGCTCTGGTGAATTCTCTCACCCTCCCACGCTTCTGACTGTACCCAGTGCATGGATAAATAAATAAATAAATAAATCTAAAAAAAAAAAAACTTTAATGAAAAAAAGATTTTATTTATTTATGCATACAAGAACTGGGCACAGGCCAGAGGTGTGGGGGGGTGAGAGGATTCACCAGACACAGAGTGGGCAACAGAACAGGCAGATCTACTGAAATTCACTGCCGAGGGGAGCAGCGGGGAGACAGGAGAGGTCTGCTGCGCCATGTGGGTAGTTCCCTGGCCAGCCGGGGATCTGGAACAAGTGCTGTAGTGACTGCAGCTGGCTTCTTAGGTTGCGTCACCTTGCGCCACCAGGGAGGCCCTACAACTGATTTATTGACATAAGTTCACATCCCTAAAATTCATCCCTGTAGTAGTAGATGCAGCGGGTTTCAGAATATCCATCCCTGGACAGCCATCACCACTATCGAATTTTAGAACATTCTCTAAAGAGAAGCGCCATACCTGTGAGCAGCCCCGGCCCCGCCAGGCCCCAGCATCCATGGCTGTGCTTTGGTCCCTGGATTTGCCTGTCCTGGATGTTCACCTAAGTGGCACCTACGCTCCATGGACTTTGGCTTCTTTTGCTGAGTCCAGCTTAGCAATGTGCAGCTTCATCCACCTTGTGGCTCCAGCCTGCTCAGGGTACCCCAGGCCTGGCTGCACCCCACCTACGTAAGGACCCACTCCCTGTTCAGGCCTGAGGCAGAGCTGACCTGGCCATGAGTCATCATTTTCTCCCACACTTGTTGATGTCCGGGAAGGCACCCATCCCAACACCCACTAACGCCCCACCCACTGCCCCGGGCTGCGGGGCTGAGAGCCCTCCCCACCAGTGTCAGAGGCCACCCTCAGGGCCTGGTCATGGGGCTGTCCCCAGGGCAGCTCAGGACAGGTCAGCGGCTTCCTCACGTCCAGAGCCAGAAAACACCGGAGCCTTGCAGCCTCTTGGCAGCCGTGACAGCCCGTCACGTTCAGGCTGGTGTTATTAGCTTCTCCTTGCTATGGAGCAAACTGCCATCATCGCAGAGGCTGGAAACGTCACCCACTGATCCTTTCACCTCATGGGGTCAGAGGCAGCTCCAGCCCCAGCGCTGGGGCCGCCCGGGGCTGTGGGGGAGGTGCTGGCCCTCCGCCTCTCTGTCTGGAACTGAACCCCTCCATGCTGAGTTCGTGGTGGTGGAGGTGCCAAGGACCCCATGGCGCCCCATGGTCCCCAGCCAGCCTGGAGTTGACGAGGCCAGGCCCTCCCGGATAATCTCCCCTTTCTTAGCACAAAGGCAGCTGCATGGGAACCTAATCTCGGGGTGATCTCCCTTCACACCTGAGGGGGTGGCGAGCCTGGGGGGCCAGGCAGAACTGTGCCCACCACACCTGTGCTGCCAGCTAGAAGAAATCACTAGTCCATGCCACCGTCAGGAGGAGGGGGAGACCCAAAAGTCAAGGTCAGAGGTCACCTGCCATTCCTGCCTATTTGAGAGCCTCTCAGAATCAGGGGGTGACAAATGGGCAAGGTGTGGATTATGTCTCTTTAGGGGGCTATTGCTTTTTATTCCCGATGATTTGCTTCTTTGTGTGATGATTTGCTTCTTTGTGTGAGCTTTGAATTTCCAGCTCAGTTTTGGGGGTGACCCGAAGAGTACTGGGGGCTGGGAGCAGGTATGTGTCTGCAAGGGCATGGCCTAGGATCCAGACAGGTCATGGAGCAGCTTCCTGTGTGTTTGCATGAGGAGCCCAGGGGGCACCGCATAGCCCCAGCCGCTCCTAAATGTTCATTTCTCAATTCTGGGGTTCCTAGGCAGATGGGAAGATGCCTTTGTAGAAACCCCAAACTTCAATCAAACAGGCCAGAAAATGCAAAGCTCTCGTGGGGAACGTTTTCCCTCCCAGAACCCAGATTTCCTCACCTCTTTCCGTGGCTGTGAGTAGTTCTCTCCCTCCCCTAAAATGCTGCTTTTCTAAGGTCCAATCTCCTGCCTCTTCTCTTTGTGCCCCCGGGCAGGGAGCTCCAGAAGTGGCCTTGGGCCCTGCCCTCCCGCTGGGCTCCACCCAGCTCCTCCTCTTGCTGACCTGGGTCCTGTTCCCCCATGAGTTTTGGTGCCAAGGGGCTTTGCTTTCTTGGGAGCTCAGCCGCAGATTTAAAAAGATGAGGGGCCTCCCTGGTGGCGCAAGGGGTTAAGCACCGCACTATGAAGCCAGCCACAGCCTCTGCAGCACAGTGCGATCCCAGGCCGGCCAGGGAGCTACCCACATGGCGCAGCAGACCTCTCCAGTTTCCCTGCTGCTCCCCTCAGCAGTGTGTTTCAGTGGATCTGCCTGTTCTGCTCCCCACTCTGTCTTTGGTGAATCCTCTCACCCCCCGCATCTCTGACCTGTACCCCAGCTCTTGCATGCATAAATAAATCGTTTTAAAAAAAAAACAAGGGTGGGGGACATTAAAGGAACTGAAGTATAACGTTTTTCCTTTCAGTATCTACCATTTGATTGTCTTAGGGTTTTAAAAACAAATAAATAAATAAGTAAATAAAAAAAGAAGTATGGTTCTTACCCAGCAGTCCCAGGTGCTTTGGGGGGACGCCACGGGCTGTCTAACCTGCTGAGATGTGAACAACAGTTCAGCCCAGGGCTCGCGCTGAGCAGCTCCCGGATCAGACTGACAAGCTCACAGAGCTGCCTTAAGCCAGAGGACGGCGGTGACCCCTGACCCAGAGGTCAGAGAGGCGAGGGGAGATGACCCCGAAGTCCACGTCATACTTCATGGCGAGACCAGGCGGGGGCGGCGCCCCAGGTGTGAGCGGCAGCCCGGCCAGGATGTGGCTGCAGGGCTCAGTCGGGGTCACCAGCCTGTGTGCAGCCTGCCCGGGTGGGTCCTGTGCAGCGGCCAGGGCAGCGAGAAGGCCGGAGAAGTCTGCTGGTGGGGCCACAGCCCAGGGCACCAGCCCCCACCCGTCCACGTGCCTGGCCCAGCTCTGTGGCTGCGCAACATGCAGTCTTTGTCCAGTACCAAGACAGACGCTGTAGAAATGATGTGGAAACTCAGCGAAGACCCACCCCTCCCCCCTTGCAGGCTTGCCAGGGCCCCATGTGCTTCCAGATGGCACGGTGACCTGTGTCATGAGCTGATTATCAGAGCCTTTGGTTGCCCAACTCCCCTGGAGTGGAGCTGAGGTCCTGCCCCAGAGCCAGCTGCCACGGGGCTTCTCCCTTCCAGGCCAGCTGCAGCAGGGGAACTGGGGGGCAGGCCTTAGCACTCCAGCCAGCCCACCCCCACGGGCGTGCCACCTCTGGGCCTGCCCGGCACTGAGACTGCGTGGGAGGCAGGCGTTTGGGCCTCCCACCGGGGTGGACAGGCTGCCGTGGCCCCTGTGACTGCAGAACCCCATCTCTGCCAGACAACGGGGTAACTAGTTTGCAGCGGGTTACGGCAGGCCCCAAGAGGCTCCTTCTCAGGGGTGACAGTCCTGGGGTTAGTCACCTTCCCTTGAACAGGGCCCATGTCCAGGGGGACCGCAAGGAACACCCAGGGAGGCGGTGCTAGGGCTGACATGGGTTGGGGGCTACTCTGTTCTACCTCACTGTCAGGGGTCCCCCAGCTTTCTCAGTTCGGGCCCCCTCTGCGTCTCAGGAGCTTTTTCATGGTACTCCTAGGTCCAAAGCACCCTCGTCGTAGGTGTTCTTTGAGACTCAAACTACTTAATATTATTGTTCTGACAACCTTGCGGTCACTTGGAAAACAGACCAGGCGTCCCCGGGATGGAAAACGGGGCTTTTATTTCGTCCTTTCAGAAGCGCCACGACTTGCTGACCAGCCCACGCACCTGACAGCCTCGTCTGCCTGGACTCGGCTCCCTTCCGGGGTGACCCCTACGCGCTTCAGAAGTGGACCCAGCCCCCAGCGGAGCCCCTTGGCGAGCTGCAGGCAGAAGCGCCCCGGCAGAAGCACAGGGGTGGGCCGGAGGGCTGGGGGTGCCCGCAGAGGCGGCCCCAGCCCCACGGCGGCCCGGCACGAGCTCAGGCTCCCGCGCCAGGTGCGGCTGGCCGAGCCCCGGAGAGCGGAGGGGCCGGGGGCGCGGGCCGGCCTGCCTCCCGGGGGGCACCAAGGCCTGGGGCGGCGCCGGCGGCTCCCGGCCCCCAGCCGGGCGATTCAGAATCTTCTCTTCGGTCACTTTCTACACAAGCCGCGCCTCCTGGCGGACCCGGGTTAGGCTGCGCAAAGCTCGGGTCGGGCGGGACGGGGGAGCGCGCGGCGAGAGGACGCCGCCGGGGTGGGGGGCCCCTCGGGGGTGGGGGCCCCTCGGGGGTGCGGGCCCTGGAAGCCCAGGCCCGGCCTGGGGGCCTCAAGCCCCCACCAACCTGGAGGGAGTCAGGGGGTGGGTCCCAAGTTCAAGCTCCAAGTGACCCCGGGCAGGCTCCCCAAGGGGCGCCCCAGGATAGGGGTCGGGGGCGCAGGAATCAGACGCCCCCCCACCAACCCGGGGCGCCGTGAAGGCGGCGGGCAGGCAGGGTGGCCCCTCACTGCTCCTCGGGCCCGTCGCCCCCCAGCGCCTGCTCGTAGGGGCAGGGGCGGCGGCCGAGGCCCGCGGGCTCTGCGCCCGGCCGGGCTCCCGCGGGCGGGGCCTCCTCCTCCGCGCCGTCCTCCGGGCCTCCGCCGGCGCCGCCCCCGGGCTCGCCCTCCGCATCGCTCTCGTCCGAGTTGTCCTCCTCCAGGTAGCGGTAGCCGCGCACCTTGTGCTGCGGCCGCGGGATGCGCGGCTGGCGCGGGGCCAGGCCCCGCCGCAGCTTCTGCTCCATCCACAGGTACGAGGCGGCGGCGGCCAGCAGCGTGAGCAGCAGCACGGCCAGCTTTGCCTGGGGACCCAGCGAGGGGTTAGGGAGCCCGTCGCCCCGCAGCTCCCCCTCCGGCCCTTGGCCACCTAGGCCCATACCCCAGCTCCGCCCCGTGCCCCCAGCGGTTCTCCCGCCCGGTCCCTGCAGGGCTGCCTCTGCGCCTGGGTTAGCTCTGAGCACGCCCGCCAAGCCCCACACAGGCCTGGCCCTCCCCTCCCAGAGCGTAGCTCCATCCGTGCCTGACACGTGGGGGCCAAAAGGATGCCTCAGAAACCAAAACCGCAGTCGGAAGCAACTTCAGGCCAAACTCAGCCCGCAGGCCCCGCGCTGTCATCACATTACCCCAGGCCCTCCGCCCGGCCACCCACCCTCACCTTCATGGGCAGGCCCGAGCCCAGGTACACAATGAAGATGGCCACCGCCTGCCACCAGTGGTAGATGGTGAAGATGAAGTCTTGTCTCTCCTTGTCCTCATACAGAATTCCCAGGAGTGCTGCGGCACGCAGGGCAGGAAGGGAGAGGTGTCACCGGGGCCACCTGTGACCTTAGGCCCTGCCCTGGTCCCGTCCTTGGCACCAGGCGCCCAGAGAGCCGTGAGCTGGTCCTGGGCCGCCCCCTAGTGGAGGCTGGGTTGGCACAGGCGCTGAGCAGAGGCCGCAGTGGGCTGAGCCCCCGCAGGGTGAGATCTGGGCCACCTGTGTGGCCGCAAAGGTGGAAAGTTCACGTGCAGTCGTACCCTGTCCCCTCCAGTTCTCAGACATAAAGTGCCAGGCTGCCAGAGGCTGTTTCTCCTCCTCACCTCGGCCAGGGAGGGCAAACAAACCTACAGATCCAGGGGAGAACTGTTTTCCAAAGAAGCCTCCCAGGGGCAGGCAGGAAGCCCTGCTCAGAGGTCAGAGACCCAAAATCCGTTCTTAGAGCTGTAAGTGAGGAGAGCGGGCAGAGGTGTGAGCTCCGGTGTTGGCTCACTTTCCCATCTCTAAAATGGGGTGACACGTGGTATAGATTGTGTTGTGAGGTTTTAAGGTGAGAAAGCCCACACGGCACCTGGCGCTCAGGACATTAGCACCCCCGTCCTGAGACCCCGCAGAGCGACAGTCCCCCAGGGGGCTGCTGTGAAGGGACATGGAGCCCCCCAGGGCCCTGAGGACAAGGCAGGAAGCAGAGCTGAGAAGGCATGCCAGGACCACGGCCAAGGGGAATCCTGTCAAGGGCTCCAGGTGCCCAGGCTGGACACTGCCCAGAGATGGCTGCCCTCAGCAAAGTGGCCAAGAGTAGTTGGGGCTCCATCCCCCACAACGGCTATAGACATCTCTCTATCATGGTGGGTGCAAGGGTCGCCTGAGCCAGCCCCTGCCCCACTGCAGCAGGCATGACCTCCTCACGCCACACTCCCAGGGGTGACATTCAGAAATGTTAGCAGCACTGGCACCGAGAAAGAGGTGCCTCCTTCTGTGCGCTGGCTGCATGTCGCTGGTCTGTGCCCACCCTGGGCAGAGAACATCAAGCAGCTGCACTCTGACCCACTCCCTTCTTTTTGCAAACATGGCCCTTCCCCAGTTGGGCAAACCGGGCCAAACTGGGCCCCACCCTCACAGCTTAGACTTGAGGCCTGGACCCTGCTACTCTAGAAACCAGTGCTGGGGCTTCATGCCTGCACCCTGCTCCTGCACCCTGAGATGTAGACAGGGCCACCTGCCGCTTCCCATGTCCCTGGGCACAGGCCCCACATTGGCTCCAGTGTTATGAAAACTATGGCAAGTTAGACCCTGTGTCCTGGCATGAAAGCAAGGTGTAACCAATGTGCTCCTGCAGACTATCTCTGGGGCACCCACAGTGTCCACAACTAGCTGCTGACCCCTAAGTGTCCACTGGACCCCAAGCCACCCTGGGCTATCCACAGGAGATCCAGGGGTCATGCAACTACCATACTTACCCCAGGGTGTCCAGAGCCCCCCTCCGCCTGTACTGACAGTGTCCTTCCTTCCAGCCCATGAGTGTGCACACGACCCCATACGAGACCTCCAGTGTGCTCCCCCAACCACCCCCAAGTAGCCACAGGGTGCCCTGCCACGTGGCCATACTCACTGCTGAGCCCAGTCTTGTTGAGGGCACTGCCCACGCCCCACAGGACAGCTGCTGCATAAAGGATCCAGGTGTGCTGCTGGACTCGAGGTGCCGGAGCCCAGAAAAAGAGGCCGAGAATGAGTAGCAGGTGCAGCCCGGCCCCAGCCATCAGAGGCACGGCACGGGGCAGCCACAGCCCCAGCAAGCCCAGCAGGGACGAGGCCGAGGCACCCAGGCCGTAAGCCACCAGGAGGTACGCCAGGCGTTCCAGCCCCACCGAGCAGACACCGTAGCCCTGGGACAAGGGAGCACACGGGAGGTCAGTCGGGACTGCCCACAGGCCTCATTTTAGGCTACACCCTTCCCTCTTGGGGTCACCTGGAGGCTAACTCGCTTCCAGGCTTCCTGGAAGATGGGGGGGTTTACATGGAAATGCTCGGAGCACTCCCCCCCAGAAGAACCCCAGAGGCAGCATCCTGCATAGAACCAGGCCCGCCTGTGGTCACCGTCTCAGCTGCGTGATGCTTTTGACAGCGGGCACGGGGCTCTTCGCACTCCACAGGCAGGGAGCCCAGGCTCCTTAAAGTAACCTGGCCCGGGTGGGGGTAGCACAAGGGAGCCAAGAGAAGAGGGGGCGCAGATCTGGGGCACAGGTGCACAAACTCATTCGTGTATTGAAAAAGTATTCGTTGTGCATCTGAAATTCAAATCTCCCCGGACGCCCCGCATTCCACGCGCAATCCCGCACCTGCCGCGCTCACCAGGGCGATGCCAGTGCAGGCGAAGAGCACCTCGAAGCCGCTGTAGATGAAGAAGGGCACGAGGTGGCGCAGGCGGAAGTCGCGCACGTGCTTGAAGGGCAGCTGGAAGATGTTGCCCCAGCCCACGCTACGCAGGTCGATCTCCTCCGTGGGCCGGTACGCGGCGCCGCACAGACCCAGCACCTGCCGGGCGCGCTGTCAGGGGCGGCAGCCGGGCCCACTGGCCCCGCCCCGGCCCACCAGGGCCCCGCCCCTACCGCGCCCTCGCCCGCCCCTACAGGCACCGCCCACCAGGGTCCCGCCCACCAGGGCCCCGCCCCACACACGCTGCAGGCCCCGCCCCCAGCACACCGAAGGGCCCCGCTCCCTACACGCCGCAGGCCCCGCAGGCCCCGCCCACACACGCCGCAGGGCAGGCCGGGGTCTTGCTCTCTGCTCCGCCCCCAGGCCAAGCCACGCCCTGGTCACGCCCCTAATCCCTTACATGTGCCTTCCGGTACCGCCCCCGGGCTTGGGCTATGTCTTCGCCCCTTTGCTCCCCGTGACCACCCCCGCCCCCCCGGCCCCCGCGCCCCCCCCCCCCCCCCGCCTCAGGGATACCGACTCAGTCCACAGGCATCACTCGCCTCTGGACTCACCAGGCTCCCCCCAAGACTCAGCGGGGGGGGGGGGGCCGGCCCCGCCCCGGACGCCAGCCCCGCTTCCAGCCCGCGCCTCTCCCCCACCTCGCCCGCCCCGGGCCGGCTGCGCCCCTCCCCGCCGGCGCACCAGCAGCATGGCCAGGAAGGCCACGGCCATGAGCACGCTCTCCACCACGATGAGGTTGCGGCTGCGCGGCAGCGTCCGCAGCACCGTCTTGTTGAAGCCGTTGAGGACGCCCTGACTGTTCGTACCTGAGAAGGGGCGAGCAGGACACGGTCACCTCGGCCCACTCAGGGGAGGGGGCGTCAGCGCCTGCGGAGGCGGGATCTTTGGGGACCAGTTGGAGGTTAAGGTCCCTGGACCTGGATGCACCCCAAAGAGAGGCGCTCCTCCCCCCCTTACTGACATATTGCTCCCAGGCTGGGGGGAGGCTTGGGCCAGTCCACCTCCCCCCTCCATACTTTCACCTGAGCTCTGGGGGAATGCTGGGCCCTGAGAATGGGCCCCCAATGTCCCAACCACATTTGCCTTCAGGGATCTGCGCCTTGCCCTCTACAGTCACCAGACGGCAGGATCTCAGCCCCGAGCGCTGTGAGCAAGGGCACCCTCTGTGCCTCGGAGGGCCCGGCCTCTACTGGATGGCTCAGGGGAGTGGGTGAGCAGCCTTAGGGACCCCACCCCAAGAACACTAACCGCAGTTCTGCACATTGTACAGCGTGTGGTTCAGGTCGTACAGGTAGTGGTTCAGGAAGTAGATCATGGGCAGCTGGGCACAGGCGAAGCTCAGCTGCGGGCAGGAGGGCAACTTGGGTAGGGCTCAGGCCACGGAACATAGCTGGATATGGGAGGGGCTGTGCACAGCCTTGGGGGGACAGGGGCCCTCCCGCCTCTGGGGGCAGCCCATGGTTGGGGGCGCGTGCCTGATGCAGAAGATCTGCTCAGCACCGTGCTGGGAGCGGATGAGGGCTCAGTCACCAGAGGTGACCAAGCAGGTTGGCTCGGGAAAGGGCGGTGGGACTGGAGAGCCGAAAAGACGGTGGAATGGGCTCTAATGTGTAGGTTCTGGGCCTGGAATAAGCCCCGAGGGCGCTGTACGTGGCACTCACGTGGAAGAAGCTGTAAAAGATGGCCTGGAAAACCAGGAGGTAGGGGGCATGGGAGCCCCGAGGCGGGCGCTGCCGGGGGGCCTGCTCCTCCCGCTCCTTGTAGTGGGCGTACTCGTAGTACTTCTGGGACATCCTGGAAGGAAGGAGACAAGACTTGCCCCGGCCCGACCTCTGCAGATGCCTCCGCTGCCTGCACCCTCAGCCGTGGGCGGCCAGCCCGTGTCGCGCGGACAGGGAAGCTGAGACAGAGGGCGGAAGGGACTGATCCAGGGAGCCACAGGCCAGACTGGCCACGCGGCAGAGGCTCAGCCATGTCTCCAGTCTCCCGCCCCGCTGCCCGCCATGCTCACCTGGTGATGTAGTTGCCCATGGAGGCCCAAAGAGGCACGATGGCCATGCCCAAGGCCACGGCCGAGGGCACGAGGGTGTAGTAGCGCTCCCAGTAGTTGGTGGAGACAAAGAGGGCATAGATGCCCACAGCCAGGAACATCATCCACTTGGTGCCAAAAAACCTGTGGGCAGTAGGAGCGATGTTGGCACCACAGGTCTACCTGGACCGACCCCAGTGACCACGACTCCAGGTGCCCGCACACGAGGATGCGCCAGGTGTGCTGAGAGCCCTGGACTCGGAGCAGGGGCCCTGAGGGGGTGCGCGTGGGCTGGTGTAGCCATTCGGACAATCCTCCAGGGGCTGGGGCAGGGGGCAAGGGACAATCATGGGGTTTGGAGTCACTCGGTCAACACCTGCCATGGCACCTGGGCGAGCTGTCCAGCCTTGGGCGTCTCCCAGTCTGAGGTCAGCGCCCCTGCCTCAGACGGCGGGGAACAGGGAGTGTGGGTGGCTACCAACAATAGGGACGTGTTCCCCTAAAGCCCTTCCCCGCTGCTGCTGCTGACCTAGTAAGGGCTCCCCGGGGGGTTTATCCAAGAAAGGTTTTTTGAACTTTAAGAAGGAAGCAGGGCCTCCCTGGCGGCGCAAGGGGTTATGACTCAGCACTATGAGGCTATCGGCAGCCACAGCGCGAGTTCGATCCCCGGCCAGGGAGCTACCCACACGGCGCAGGGGACCTCTCCTGTCTCTCCGCTGTTCCGCTCTGCAGTGGATTGCAGTGGATCTGCCTGTTCTGCTCCCCACTCTGTCTCTGGGGAATCCTCTCATCCCCTGCACCTCTGGCCTGCACTCCAGCTCTCGTGTGCATAAATAAATCTTTAATAAAAAAAAGAGGAAGTGGCAACAAGCACAGAGTGAAAGAAGGAAAAGCAGAGGGAGAGCTGAGGCCCAACTCTGAGCCACCGCTGGGGGCCCCCATCTCTGCAGACCCCCAACCCGAGTCTCACTGTAAAGACTGGAGCGGGCCGGGTGCGTGCAGGGCAAACAAGCAAGCAAAGGGGAGCTGCACACGAGTGCACACATGAGCATGTGCTTGTGCCCACGCACACGCAGGCGTGGTGACAGGCACGGAACGTCGCCATCGTGCCGGTGGGACGGGAGCGGCCTGTTAACGGGAGGGCTGGGGAAGGATTTCCTTTTTCTGATTTCCACTATGACTCTCACGCTGCCCGCAATCGTGATGAAGGAGGTTTGCGTCTTTTTTATAGACGGGGAACAAAAACCCGTGCAAGCAGCCGGGTTTCGGGGCCCATCTGAGCAGGCACCGCCACCCGTGGGGAGGGTGCCGGGGAGGGAATTTCTCGCACTGGCTGGGAGGCTGCCTGCAAGGCTGGGGTCTAGCTACCCCTGTGGGCAGCGGCCTTGCCCGTCCTGCCCGGGGAGAAGGGCCCCCGCGTGGGGAGGAAGGCCGGGTGCAGCCCGCAGATCGCATCCCCCCCAGACCCCACCCGGAGAGCACGGGGTGGGCACGGGCGGCAGGGAGTGAGTTTCACGTCTGGGTGCCCGAGGGTCTGGCCCTTGCTCTCGCTTCCCACCCGGGCTCACCCTTCACGCTGCCCTCGGCTCCCCGCCCCAGAGCACCCGCCCTGGCCACCTGATGAGCACGGGCGTGTAGAGCAGGGCGGCGATGGGCGTCACGTTGATGCCCATGAGCATCTTGCTGTCGATGTCGGGGAGCCCCATGTTGCCGTACTTCACCTCGCGGTAGGTCTCGTCGTAATGCAGGATCAGCTGCATCTGCAGGAGGCCTGGGGCCGGGTGGGCATGAGCGGCGGCCTGGCGCCGGGGCCACCAGCAGAGCCTGGCTCCGGGGCCACCAGCAGAGCCTGGCGCCGGGGCCACCAGCAGAGCCTGGCGCCGGGGCCACCCAGCAGAGCCTGGCGCCGGGGCCACCCAGCAGAGCCTGGCGCGCGAGGCCTTCGGGGCGCGGCAGGCGCCGTCGCCCACGCCACGCGGGCCCCGTGGGGCCCAGGGTCCCGCCAGCCGCGGCGCCACCCGCAGCCTGGATCCCGCCCGCCGCCCGCGCCCGGATCCCCGAGGCAGCCGACCCGGCCGGGGGCGCCGCCCCCTCGCGCGCCCGCGGCGGGCCGGGACCCCTGGGCCCGCGCAGCGGCGCCCCCCGCCCCGCCCCGCCCCGCCCCGCCCCGCGCAGGGGCCGCCCCCCGGGACAGCAGGGGGAAGTGAAAGGGGAAGGGAGCGGCCCGGGCCCGGGTTTCTGTTTCCCAGGCCGGGCCCGGGGGGGCGCGGGCGCCGTACCCAGGTAGACGCCGTAGGTGAGCGCGCCGCCCGCGCTGGCCGCCAGCACGTTCTTGACCACGCCGAGGCGCTTGCGGCGGTAGTAGCGGCGCTCCTCCTCCTCCTCGTTGTAGTTGGGGTACGCGCCCACCAGCTCGTCCAGCTGCGGGGCACGCACGGCGCTCGCCCGGGGTCGCACCCCAGGGCCCAGCTCCAGCCCCGCGCCCCCACCCCCGACCCCGCGCCCCCGCCCCGTCCGCCGGGGGGCGCGTCCCAGCCCCGTCGGGGCGACCTCCGCTCCCGGGTGCCCGCCCCCCGCGCCCGGCTCACCGGCGCGCCGGGCCCATCGGGGAGCCTGAGCCGGTCCTCGTCCCCCTGCGGCCCCGCGGCCCCGGCCACCGGGTAGAGCGGCGGCTGCGCCTCCATGGCCGGGCCGCGCCGAGCGCTCGCGGCGAGTCCGGCCGTCCCGGGCCCGCCAGGCGCTTCCTCCCCGCGGCGGCCCCGCCCCGGCCCGCCCCGCCCCGGCCCGGCCCCGCCCCCGCGGTGGGGTGCAGCGGGGCGCCTGGGGGGCGGGGCCGCGCGTGCACGAGCCCGGGCTGGCTGCGGGGACCCCAGCCACGTCCTGGCTCCGGGACTTGGGCAGCCGGGGCCGCGGCTCTGCGCCCTCGTCCTCACCTGCAAACCCGACACGCCAGCGCTACTTCTGGTACAGGGCAGGGGAGGGGTATCCTGGGACCCCAAAACTGCCTGCTCTAAATGCGTTCTGCCATCCGCGCACCCCCTCCCCCATCAGGACCAAACACACGCCCCGCTGTGTAAGGCCGTCCGTGGAGGGGCGCTGCAGTAACACCCGCGCAGCACAGGGAAGGGAGAGGCTGCATCAAATAGTTTCCCCTTGAAACACCCCAAGTCACCCACTCCCTGGTGGGTGAATGCCCAGCCCAACAGGGTGGGCGCAAAGCAGGGCCCCTGAGGCCCCGAAACTTGCCACACATCTAAGGTGCCTCCTGTGGAAAGGGCAGGGGGCCTGGCCAGTCTGGAAGGAAAAGAGAAAATGAAAACCAAGAGAAAGGCTGCCCTGGCACCCCCCGCGGGGCTCTCACCACGTCTGTGTCAAGCGTCTCCTTCCAAGTCCCCCAAGTCCCTGGTGCAAGGCCAAGGCCGAGCTGCAAGCGCCGCTTCCTCACGCGTGTGTCTCTGCTCCAAGCGCCTCCTCCAGGTCCCGCTCCCGCTTCCCTTCATCCCTTCTCCGGCTCCTCCTGGCTCCTTTGCGCAGCTCCACTTCCCTTAGGGTGGGCAGGAAACCTCGAACCTCCCTTCCCTGGGGACCCCGTTACCCCTCCAGGGCTGGGCTTGGGTTGCTGAGTTAAGGTAGTGTCTGAGAAACAGCCGGCCCCATGGGTGTGTCTGCAGGTTAGCAAAGAAGAGCCCAGCACCCCCCACAGAGGACCCCCACCCCAGGATTGGGGCCCACCTCTGACCCGCCCTTCCCCTTTCAGTTTTGGCTTCTGCTAGTGGGAGCTCTGGCAGGGCCCTGGGAGGCGCGATTACAGAGGCGCCCATGGGGCACCCCCCTCCGCGAGGGTCCAGAGCCGCCTGCACCCACCCCAGTGGGCCCTGGGTCCAAGCCTGCGGGGGAATAACCACACGCGGAAGATGAAGCCGGGCCCTGCTTCCACCGCTCTCAGCTTAACTTAAAATGGGCCCAAAGTGTAAGCAGAAAACCCCAAAGCATCAAGCTCCTAGAAGAAAGCGGGGCGGGGGGTGTCGCTGGCTTTGGTCTTAGTCATCTTTCGGATAGGACACCAGAAGCACAAGACCCAGAGGCGATGCCAGCAAGCAGGACCGCTTGCTTCCGCACCAGAGAAACACAAGAGGAAAACGGAGTGAACACACCGGAGAGAGCGTCTGCAAGGCCCGCCCTGGGCCCCACACTCACCGGGCAGCACACCACAAAGCCCCGGCAAACAATGACAAAATGGACAGAGGAACCAAAGAGACTCCCCCCCAAGGGAGACACCTTGATGGGCACAGGCACGTGAGAGGGGCTCAGTGTCACCTGTCACCAGGGACGTGCAAACCAAACCTCATACCTGGAGGCACGGCTGTCGCCCAAAGGCAACAGGGCGGTGAGGACGCGGTGGAAGGGGAGCCTGTGTCCTGTGGGCCCATAAATGGGCGGGCCCCCCCCAGAGAGCAGGATGGAGGCGCCTCAAGAAATGAAAAGGAGGGCCTCCCCGGTGGCGCAGCGGTTGAGCGCTGGGTTGCGAAGCTGCCCGCAGCCTCTGCAGCGCCGGTTCGATCCCCGGCTGCTCCCTGGCCACCAAAAGAGGGTCCTGCATGGCGCGCAGACCTCTCCTGCCGCCCGCTGCTCCCCTCAGCAGTGTACTTCGGTCCTTCTGCCTGCTCTGCTCCCCGCTCTGGCTCTGGTGGATTCTCTCACCCTCCCGTGCTTCTGACTGTACCCAGTGCTTGCATAAATAAATAATCTTTAAAAAAAATGTCAAAACTACCACTAATAAAAAAAAAAGAAAGAAAGAAATGAAAAGGAGAAATTCCACACACTCCAGCAGCCCCACTTGCGGGCACAGGCCACGGGAGCGTAGACAGAGGTCTCTGCAGCCCCCGTGCACTGCAGCGTCGTGCACACGCCGGAGACAACCCGAGCGTCAGCAACAGTGAGAGGATAAAGAAGAGGCAGCGTATGCACGCGCGCGCACACGCACACGCACACACGTGTGCGTGCGTGCACACACTGTTACAGGTGTGTCTCACTTTATTGTGCCCGTTTTATTGCACCCTGCATTTTGCACCGTGACGCTTCCAGCGCCCAGCAAGGCAAGCAGTGCCGGGTTCCCGACAGCACCTGCTCACACCTGGCCTCTGTGCCGCGTTTAATCCGGGCGGACACGTCGTGTTTAGACCTGGCACTGCCGCACACTTACTGGACTGCCGTGCGGTGTAAACATCGCTGTTCTAGGCGCTGACATACCATCCGTGTGAGACTCCCTGTTTTGCTTGGCTGCTGGGGTCTGGAAGGGACGCCAGAGATCCGCAGAATGTGCTGGATTCAGCCACGAGAGGTAAGGAAATCTGGCGCTTGCGACGGCGTGGGTGGACCCCTGACCACCAGGCTGGGAGAGAGAAGCCAGGCAGGGAGAGACAAACGTGGCCTGGAGTTGCTACATGTGCAGCAAGACCAAAAAAAAAAAAACCTCCCAAATCCAGAGTGGAGGGCGGTTGCCAAGAGCTGGGAGGTGGGGAGGAGGCGCGCGGGGACATCCAGTGAGCAGACGGGCCGTTCCTGGACGTCTCAGACACGGTGCAAGGACCGCAGGCGGCAAGTCACGGCACCTTTCCTCGATTATTTCCCCGTGAGAAGAAACGGCAAGTGTGTGCTGGCCGACAGCAGCAGTCCTGCCGCAGCACAAACCTACCAAGGCAACACGTCCCTATCTTACCCTACACAGTGTCATAATCGATTATATCTCAATTTAAAAATACCTGGCGCATCCCTGGTGCAGCAGGGGTGAAAGTCTCAGCGCTATCAAGCTGTCGCCAGCCACTGCGGCCTGAGTTCGAGCCCCGGCCAGGGAGCTGACCCCCAGGGCGCAGCAGACCTCTCCTGTCTCCCTGCTGCTCCCCTCAGCAGTGTGTTTCCGTGGATCCACCTGTTCTGCTCCCCACTCTGTCTCTGGTGAATCCTCTCACTCCCCGCACCTCTGGCCTGTACCCCATCCCTTATATGCATAAATAAATAAATCTTTTAAGATTACCCCTGAGAAGGGGTACAGCCTCGCACTATTTCCCTTCTGGTTTTCTCTGCCTCATTGCCTACCCCTCCCCCAGGGAACTCCCCAAGGACCTCTCAGGCAGAGAATGGGGAGCACTTAGGAGATGTTCAATAACGTGAGGGGTATGTGGGCCAGGGGGTGAGTGGGTGACAGCTACCCACCCAGAGGGGCCACGGGAAGCGGGAGCACTGGGGCTGTGAAGGGCATGAATCTGCAGGGGCTTCAGGATGCGAAGAGGTGGAACTTTCTGGAACTGCACCCAGCTGCTGATTAGGGGGCAAGCAGACAGGTGGATCCTAGCAGGGTGCCTGGTAGTAGGCGATGTGGGGGAGCAGGAGCAGCGAGAGCAGAGGCTGCTTGGAAGCAAGAGGGCGGGTGCAGAGGCCGCTTGGAGGCCGGGGGTGTGGCCAGAGAGTGAATGAGGGTTCATCACCTCCAGCAACCACAAAGTCCAGGGTGTGGCTGAGGGGTGGGGCGGTCCAGGAAGTCATGGGGGCTTGCGGGATGAGGAGGCCCGGGGTGCCGCGGACTGCAGAACTCAGCAGGGCAGGCCATGAGGCCAGGGGAAGAGAAGACAGCTCCTGGGGGTGGGGGTGTTTCGGGGTGTGGGCTCAGTGGAGCAGGGGGTGAAGATGGGTCTCCCAGGATTCTGCAGGAGAGGATGCCAAGAGTGAGCCCTTGCTCCTCCTGGAGTGTGTGCCCCCAAAGCCACAGTGCAAAGGAGCCCTTGGGGCTGCGAGGAGACGAGCACCAACGCTCTGTAAAGCCCCCCCACCGGCCTGTCCCCCCCCTGCTTGGGGCCCCGAGTCCTGTGCCCCCAGCTGGCAGCCCTCCTGCTCCACCAGAGCCCAGGCCCAGCTCAGAGAGAGAGAGAGAGGGCAGGGAAGGGTCCTCTGGCCATGAAGCGGGGTCCCGGGGTGTCTTCTCTGGATGTTAAGGCGGCCCCCTCACCTGGCCTTGCACGTACCCCAGCATTTCCTCTCCTGCGGATGACGATGCGGAGAAAAGCTGATGGGGACTGGAACAGAAGGCGGGGCAGGCTGGCGGGGAGGAGAAGCACTTTGGGGCCTGAGTGGACCCGAGGGGGAGGCAGCCAGCAGAGCTGAGGTGTTCAGTTGTCACCACACTGGGGAGAAGACAGGCCCCAGGAGTCCTGTAAGGGACAGAGCAGGGAGGGGGTGACCCCTGAAGGGGCCGTGCAGGACCCCAGGGCGCGCAAGGGCAGCAGGGAGAGAAAGGCGCGGCCTCCGGTGGGCTCCGAGGGGGCCCGTGAGTGCACGTGGGAGGGGGAGTGTGTGGCCCGCAGCGGGGCAGCCTGCAGGGGGGGCCGTCTGCTGGGGGACGGGGCGCCCACCATGCGTTGCACAGACCCAAAGCTTCTTGGTTCTGTGTTTCCCACCGGAAAGCACCCCCCCAACCCCCCCGGCCCAGGTGAAATCAGGCCCAGCGTGTCTTAATAAAGCAGAGGAAAGGGCAGGAGCACCCCCAGGAGGCGGCACCTCCTTACAGAGGAAACAAGTGGCGGCAGAGAGCTCTGGCGCCCAATCCCACCGCCTTGAAGTAAACTGCTCCCGGGGCCTGGTGAAGCGGGACACCCCGGCGCCGCCCCCCAAACAGGAGCCGCTGGCCCCCGCCACCCCCCTAGCGCCACGGCCTGGCCTCCCGGTGAGCTTGTGCCGCTTTTAAAACTGAAAACCAGGGGCAGAGTGACCATGGCGGACTGAGGGACCCAAGGCCCTGGCGGGCCGGACATCGCCAGCACCCAGGAAACGGTGCCTGCCGTTTCCCGCAGGCTCGAGGCTCCCCAGGGTAGCCCTTGCTCCCCCAGGGGACAGTGTCCCCCAAGTTGGGAGGATCACTTCCAGGCCGTTAGGACTCCTGGGCCAGGAGCACAGGCCTCTGTGGGGGCCTCCTGCCAGGCTGTTCCTCATTCTCGAAGGTCAGGCGGGACCCCATGTCAGGGAGGAGTCCCTCGGGATCCTGCCACACCTTCCCGCTGTTATAGGGCAGCCCCGATCCTGAACGGGTTCCTGGCTGGGGGTCCTCACCGCGCGCTGACAAGGGACTTATGAACACTCCACGGCAGGCACACGCGAAAGGTTCATAAAGGTTTATTGACAAGGGAAAGGGAAATAAGGAAAATGGACAACTCAGGGAGAAACTAGGGAAATAATATCTTTCATGCGTCCTGCCCAATCCGACGACCTGGAAACCCAAAGTCACTCTCAGAGCTGGCCGGACGCTGCAAGCCGGCTGAGAGCCAAAATGGGGGACCCCCCAAAGCCCACAGGTCTGGCTTTATCCCAACCTGGCTGCTGAACCCCACCCTCAGGTCCCAGCCACCTTCCCTTGGGTGGGGATGGGATGTGGAGTTCCCAGTGTCTTTGGCTTTGGCCTGGGGTGGGGGTGGAGTCCACGAAGCCTGTATGGGATCAGCTTTGGGACAGCCTTTTCCCCCTAACACCCCCACTTGCCAGTAGCTCTCCAGGCGGGTCTCCGATGGGCTGTGTGGCCTTAGCCAGGGGCTGCCCTCTCGGGGCTTCTTGCTCAGCCCCAGCCCGGCCTCACCTGGCTCCCTCTTGCCACTGCCTGGCTCAGCTCCAGATGGCAGGGCAGGGCTGTCACATGCTGAGCCACGTGACAGGCAGCGGCTGGGGGCTCCATCCCACCCCGAGCACAGGGGCTCCTCCAGCCCCGGCCCCCATCCCTGTTGGCCGAAGCCTCCAGGGGCTCCCCAGCCGGTGTGGGCCAGCTTCTCCTGCCTCCCAGGGGCGGGGTGCGGGAGGGCGGGGGCTTGAGGAGCACCTCCCAGGTGCCAGTCGGCCCAGAGGGCCCCCGGGGCCAGGATCCCAGGCCGACCCAGGGCACCTCTGCGGAGGGACAACAGCCGGCTCAGGGCGAGGTGAAGCGCTGACACAAAGGAGCCGCTCCCCACGCCTGTAACCCGATCCGTCCTGCAGTCCTGCAGCCACAGGTGTGCGGGAGGGCGGGAGGGGCGGGCAGGGCCCAGGACGGCCTGGCTCTGGCGCCCAGGGCCCAGGGCCCCCCACGCTGACACCTGTCACGGAAGACCATCCAAGCGGACAGAGGGTGGCGCTCGGCCTGGGAGGCTGAAGGGCAAGTTGGGCGGACACAGCCGCAGCTGCCACGCGTCAGGCTCCAGGGTGGGCCGGTCCCTCCACCTGGGCCTTGCGCTGTCTGGACCTGCCCCCTGCGCCTCCGCTTCCCCACTGTACATCGTCAGGTTGCTGGGGCGATGGGTCCACGGGGGCTGGAGGAGGGGCCCCACGTGCCCTGAGGGCAGAGGGCGCAGCGCGGTCCCCGGGTGGTATTCCTGGACGCCAGCATCTTTCCATCCGACCTCTTCATTTGGCAGAGGGCAACAGATGCTCGGGGGTGGGGGGGCCTGAGCTTGTCAGCCCAGGCCACTGGGTCCCAACCCCCCCACAGCTCACCGGGCCGCCGCCCCGGGCACTCCACCCCCAGCGGGGCCTGGGTCCTACCGCCAGGCCTCGGGTGGGACCCCTCAGCTCAGAGCTCCCAGGACGCCTGCTGTGTGACCCCGGCCGGCGCCAGCTCTGTGGTCCGGGAGAGGCGCTAGAGGCCCCGGAGGGAGCTGGTGGTGAAATCTCAGTCCGGCCTCCGGCTGGCCCGGGGCCAAAGTCCTCCCCGGGGGCTGGCTCAGCTCGGACATTACACAACCGCGGCGGCAGGAAGCCAGGGGACTGCCAGGAGGAAGGGCAGCTTGGCAGGGCCTCAGGTACGGTGTCTGGGAGGCCGGGGGAAGAGCGGCGAGCCTCAGGGACACCGCTGCCGGCTGGGTGCCGACCCCGGGCAGGCCCGGCGCTCAGGCCACAGGCGCAGACGCCTCGCCCCGGCCTCCCCGGTCCTCCCGGGGAAGAGAGGAGGGCGGGCCTGCCCGCCGCGGGACCGGACAGCGGGGCGGGGCGGGGGGCCAGCGTCCCTTCTTCTCCTGGGGCGCTGGGCATCACTTAGGGGAAGCGGGGACCCTGGGCTGGTCACAGCTGCCCCGAAGCGGGCACCGAGTCCCCACCCACCCCCGGCCCAGCATTCATTTCACAACTCGAGGTTTCTGGCGCCGCCGCCGTCCGGTGCTGAGGCGGGGGCGCCCGGGTGTGGTCCCAGGAGACCCCTCTCCTTGGGAAATGGCCTCCCCGGTGTCTGAGAAGGAAGGACGCCAGACCCGCCCTTCATGGAGCAGGAACCGATGGCCAGAGGGCCTCTGCCCGCGTCGGGCGCCGGCGCAGCCTCTCCCGGGTTGGGGCCGCGGGTGGCTCAGCCACGGCAAGGGTTGGTCCCCAGTTGCTCCCCTCCCCACGCCCCCAGGGTGTGAGGGCCCGTGAGAGTGTGGCCTCCACCGCAGGGGCCTGATGGGGACTCCCCGGGCCCTCCGCACCCTGGCCTGGACGAGACTGTGCCCACCGGGTCCTCCCGGCTTCCGCCCCGGCTCTCCCCGGCCCGAGCCCGCGGGCACAGCTGTCCTTCACGGCCGCCCGGGGAAACAGCCCCCCTTTCACCGTCAGATGATTTAGCAACGCGCCACGGCCGCGGTCAGGACAGGTACGCCAGGCGGGCGGTTGACGCTGCGGCCGCCTCAGCCCCTGGACCCCCGGGCACCCCCGAGGCCGGGCCGCCGAGGCTCGCAGGGGAAGGAGGAGGAGACCGTCGGGAGCCGTGGCCGCTTGCGGGGGCCCGACCCAGCCACACCCCTGCCCGCCCGGGCCTGGGGCTGCAGTGCGGGTGGACGCAGGGGTCCCTTCTCCCAACTCCCCAGGGCCAGGCCACCTTGCTCCCCGCCCAGGCACAGGCGCGGCTTGGGAGGGCGGGCGGGCAGCGGCGCAGAGCGGGGGCGGCTCTCAGCGTCCTTGTGCACGACACAGCCTCGCACGTGCCGGGTGGAGGTGGGCTGGGGGCCGCCATTGCCAGGTGCTGCTGCAGGAACCCGTCATCTGTGTCCACGGTGACTGCCCGTCCCCAGCCCAGGCGCCCCCAAGCCCCACGCAGGGGGCAGCCTTGGCTCCTGAGCATGCCCGGGTTCTGCCCAGCCCCCTGGTCCTCAAGGGGCACCCCTGGGGCCTGGATCCAGAGTGACCCACCAGCTGGGGACAACACTGGGTGGTTTGGAGTCAATGTAGCCAGGAGAGGCTGCCGGAATGTTCCAGGATCTCCAGCTCCCCACCCCCAAGGGAGAAGCACTGTTTAGCTGCCGTGTTTCACACTTTTATGGGTGCTGCAGGCAGAGAACCCTGGGGAGTCAGGAGAGGGCTGGGTGCGGCTTGCCCTCGGCACTCATCCACAGCACCTGAGGGGACAGCGGGCCAGAGAGAGGCCTGGGAGTAGAGGGGGCAGAATAATGTTTGCTGAGTGCCTAGTTAAAGCCACCACTTACGCTGGGTACCATGGCAGCCGCTTTGTGCTGCGTGTGTCACTTAATACTCGGAACCAGAGCAAGAGCAATTGTCATCTCCATTTTACCGACCTAGAAATGGAGGTAGGGAAGGGGCAGTGACTTGCCCAAGGTCACGTGGCCAGTAAGCCTGTCCTGTGCCCAAGGCAGCTGCAAGCTCTCTCCTGACAGAGCAGGAGGCCCATGGGGTCAGCCTGGCCCAGCCACGCCAGGGCAGACCCAGGGCTCCAGCAGGACTCCAGGCAAAATGCCCATCAGGCCATGCCATCCTCTTGGTATGGCAGGCTCAGCCCTCGGGGCCAAGGAACTTTCCAGAAAACGAAGGCCTGTGCTGCCCATCCCTGGCAGCCTCGGGGGCACTGATGCATGGCCTTGGACTCAGAACTGGGTGGTGTGGCTTCATTCTTGACAAACACCCTCTGGGTGGGTGGCCATTTTCCCTACTCTCCTACGAGATGAGTTTGAGGCGTGAAGACCCAAATGATGAGTTTAGCAGACAAAGAGGGGCTTGCCTCCTAGGCCCATGGGAGGGGGTAGCAGGAGACAATGGGGGGGCAGGGAGGTGGTCAGAATGAAAGCAGGCACCTACTACAGGGTATGCCAGTGTGGTGGGGAGCAAAGCCAAGGGGCCACTGGGGAAGTGTGTGAGGGAGTAGTCCAGGCAGGCTGCCTGGAGGAGGAGGCATTAGCCAAGCCAGGACCTGAAGGGGAGACAGCAAGGGAAGGCAGAAAGGGTCCCCACAGGTTCCTGGCACCTGGCCAAGAAGTGAGTGCGTCAGAGCTCTCCTCTGATGAGCTGCAAGTAAACAGATGGGGCCCAGGGGAGTGTCAGGGCCCGACCTGCCTGCCAGCCCTGGCTGAGGGCAGCACGGCAGCGTCCCCGCCCTGTCCCCCCTCACCTGTTCCTCTAAGACGGGGAAGCCAGGGCAGCAGGGGAAGCCAGAGTTCTTTCTCCATCTTGCTGGGGAGCTGGGAGCTGAGAGAAGGCCTTTGCCTACAGCCACCAGCCCTCTGAGCCACCACCAGGCTGAGGAGGCGGGGACAGAGCATTCTGTGCCTGGAATGTCCCAGAGTAGCGGTTGGTGGACTGTCCCTCTACTTATCCAGCTCCCGCCGGGCACGTGGCTCAGCCTGGCAGTGGCGAGGCAGCCTATGGCAGGGAGGGCACAGGGCAGAGTGGGGGCATGACTTGGGGCTGACTTCCGAGAGGCAGGAAGGCACACAGGCCCCTGGCCGCTGGCACACGCCAATCCCTCAGCCCCTCCCAGACCCTCCTGCCGCGCATGGAGCGGAGTCGTCCTGGGTACATTTTTGTGTGTGTCTGAGTGTGTGTACAAATGTGTATAAGTGAGGGCAGCCCTGGCCCCGGTGGGGTGACTGTGAGTCCCTGTGGGGTTCCGTAAGCCCGGGGGGGGGGCAAGCAAGGTTGGGGGCAGGCCGTCTGTGACCCACCATGTGCCACCCCCGCAGGATGGACTCCCTGGAGGACACGCTGCAGCGGCTGCGGGACACCTTCCGGGCGGGGCGGACACGGCCGGCTGAGTTCCGGGCAGCGCAGCTCAAGGGCCTGAGTCGCTTCCTGCGGGACAACAAGCAGCTTCTGCAGGAGGCGCTGGCGGAGGACCTACACAAGGTGGGCGGCGGGTGCCTGTGGGGCCTGCACAGGGTGGGCGGCGTCAGGAGGCTGGGACAGCTGCGTGTTCCAGGAAGGTGAACTGAGCGCCTCCTCCTTCCCCGGGTGCTCTTCTGCGCCCACCCAGCCACTCACCCGCCCTGCAATCATGACAACTACTCGGCTCTAAGCTCTGGGGATACCAGAGATCAAGCACAGTCCTGTGCCCAGGTCTGCTGGAAAGATGCACGACCATAAATAAATCACGGCGTACCATGCTGAGGGGCAGTAAGTCCCAGTCTGAAGGGCATGAGAGAGGGCCTAGATCAGGGGCCGCTTTATCTGTGGGGTCAGTGGAGGTTCTCTGGGGAGGTGGCACAAGAGCAGAGATGTGAAGGAGAGGAAAGGAGCCATGTGGGTGGGCAGGGTGCAGGGGGAGGATGGTGGCTGGCATGGTATGTGCAAAGGCCCTGAGGCAGGAGGTGCTGGTGTGTTTGTGCTTGGGGAGCAGCAGGGAGGCCGGCATGGCTGAGGGGTGGGAGAGGCCGAGATAGCAACGATGAGGGCCAGGGAGGGCGTCACACCCCGCAGGGCCTCATGGACAGAGGTCTTTTCCAGTTCCAGAAGCAGCCATGGCAGGAGCCGGAGACATGCACTCCTGTGTGGTGCACCCTCAGCCAGCAGGTCCACTCCTTGGTGCCCCCACCCAGGGCAACCAGACAGGGGTTCTTCTCTGGACAAAATGTTCTTTGCATTTACCACAAAGGCCACATGTCCAGGGGGACCCCGTCTTGCATTCCACTGGCTCCTCACCACTTGGAATCCTCCCCAAGGCCCCCAGCACAAGTCAGTGGCCTGCCTGCCTGCCCCTGTGGTCACCTCCTGTCCTGCAGCATTGAGGCCTGCAGCACTGAGCTCATCGTCCCTCAAGACCCCAGGTGTCCCAGGAACAGCCTGGAGGCTCCTGAGCTCACGCAAGGGACCCCACAGTGATTCCTGGGCAGTCCTTTTGCCACTCTGGGCTGCAGGTTAGACCCTTGAGCTAGTGGATACCACGGCTACCCATCCCCCCTCCCGCCAGCTCCACCCAGGTCCTGTGGAGACGCTGCAGCAAGCGAGCACGAACCGAACGAGAGGCCTCGGGATGACGCCGGGTGGCTGGGGATCCCTGTCAGCGCTGCTGGAGTCACCAGGCGCTCAGTCTGCCCTACCCATCCGGTTCTCCCGCGCCCAGGCCCGGTTTGCCTCCTGTGGGAGTGTCCCGCTCACTGGGCCTGGTCTAGGCCGGAGGCGACGCATACCTGGGGACCACACCCCCACTAAGCCCCTGTCCACCCGGCGCTGGCCCGTCTACCTGACCCGACTGTCTAGCTGGTCCCTTTTCTCCCGTCAGCTCAGATTTCACCCCCTCCCATCCCGACTCCTCTTGAGGCTCCTGAGCTGAGCCCCACAAAGGGAGCGGCAGCCCAGAAAATCCAGTCCCTCCCTCTGACCTTGCGGGCCCTGCCCCACACCTCCCAGCAGCAGCATCTGCCCACCTGCCCTGAGGAATCCTCTTGTTGAAGCCCCGACAACCTTCCGAGAGGGGCAGTCTCGCCCGGGCACCACCAGAGGCGGCTCAGAGAGGGCACGTCCCTGCCTAAGGCCACACAATCCTGGCTCAAAGTCACAGCACTCAGCTGGGTCCAGACCCTCCGGCAAATCAGGGCACAGTTCACTGCGGTCAAAGGTCACCTACCAAGTTCAGGGTCGCGCAGTCTGGGCACAAGGACGGGCTGCTTGACACACGCGGACTCGGCGCTGGGGCATGTGGCATCTTCCTCCATGATGGCAGCCCCCGCCAGGGCTCAGCGCTGGCCTGGCCTGGCCACTGGCTTGCTGAGCGACCCTGGGCAGGGCGTCCCTTTCTCTGGACTTGGGTTTGCCCGCTGCGCTGACCCGGCACCCCGCCCCTCCTGCTCATCCCCCCCTTCTGGCAGAGGGGCTGGCGCTGTCGTCAGTGATGCGCGGGGACTGGTGTCTGGCCTTGGGCCTCCGGCCCTGGCAGCTGCGCGGTGGGCGGGGCCTCCCCTCCCTGCGGGGCTGGAGCTGGCAACCCAGCAGCCCAGATCGACAGCGTCCCTGTTGATTTCTGCCTCCTTGCTCCTGCCCTGGAAATCTGACGGGCACCCCCCACCCCTGCGCTGGACGTGACGGCATTTACTCAGGGACATCTGTCCCCAGGGCTGTCCCCTGCAGACGGATGTCCACCCAGCCAGCCCTACAGACAGTCCTCACAAGTCCTAGGTTAACCCTGTCTCTGCTGTGCCCGCCAGCCCGCAGAGAGCAGGTCCTGGCCCCATGGCCTCAGCCCCGTGGCACCGCGCTGGTTGGGACGCCCATCCTCACCTCAGGGCCTTTGCACATGCCGGGCCCTGCCTGGAATATCTGCCTAGAAAGATCCATGAGCTCCCCCCTCCCTTTCCTCACTGCTGCGCTGTCGCCTCACCCCAGAGCCCTGCACTGCCGCCGTAACATTGGACACGCGCACACTCACACGCACTAGTGCACGCTGATACTCCCTGGCACCCGCCCCCAGTCTCTTCCTCACCCATGGCGCCCTCTGGTGCTCCCGTCCTCCGAGGGCCAGGGCCCTCACGGTCATGCCAGCGTCTCAGGTCAGCTCTAAGGGGCAGGTTTTTCGTGGCCCTGTGCCCACCGGGTTCCCGGGACAGGCACCCCGACGGGCGCCGCGAGCGTGTGAGTGAACGTGCTCACAGGAGCAGGCCCCCAGAACTCCCTCCCTGCCCTCGGCCCCGTAGTCGCCCTTCGAGTCCGAGATGTCAGAGATCAGCATTGGCCAGGGCGAGATCGACAAGGCGCTCCGGAACCTGCGAGCCTGGATGAAGGACGAGAAGGTGTCCAAGAACCTGGTGAGTGCCTTGGGCTCCCCGGGGGTCACCGCCCCAGGGGTGGGGGTGCGGAGGGTTTCGGGGCCTCGCCCTTCACCATTCACGCTGGCCCGGCCCAGGCCACACAGCTGGACTCGGCCTTCATCCGCAAGGAGCCCTTCGGCCTGGTGCTCATCATCGCCCCCTGGAACTACCCCGTGAACCTGACCCTGGTGCCCCTGGTGGGGGCCCTGGCCGCAGGTGAGAGCCCAGCCTCTCCACCTTCCCAGCCTGCCCACCGCTGCCCACCTCCCTCTCACCACAGCCAGGGAGGAGGGAGGAGCTGGCACCAGCTGGCAAAGGTCTAACTCCCGTTCGGGTCGCTCTCCCCCGGCTGTGGCCCCGGGCTTGTCACCTCACGTCCCTGAGCCAGGCTCTTCCCCTGGAGGTGGAGAGAGGCCAGCACCCGCCCTGTGCCGCCCTGGGGTGCCGCGAGCCCCATGCCTCCCAGCTCTCTCCCTCCCCTGCCCGCAGGGAACTGCGTGGTGCTGAAGCCGTCGGAGATCAGCAAGGGCACCGAGAAGGTCCTGGCCGAGGTGCTGCCCCGGTACCTGGACCAGGTGAGCAGGGACTGGGCAGACCAGCGGGGACAGGTGGGTCCTTGGGGGCAGGACCCGAGTTCCTCCCTCGGTCCTGTCTCCTCTGGGTTGCGTGGCCCCGTCCGGCCTGCCCCCTCCGAGGGAAACGGGGCTGGCGACCACAGCTGCCCCCGAGCACTCCGCCCCAGGGGCCCCATCTCTACTTGCCCGCTCACCTGGGCCTGGCCCGGGTTCCCCCGCAGGTCCCCCCCCTTCACAGCCGCCTGGGCCCCTGGAGGTCTCCCCTCCCCACCTAGAGCCCCCGGCAGGGCGAGGGGGCAGTCCCTCCAGGCTCCCGGGCTGGGGTCCCAGAGGGAGCCCACCGCCCGGCCCGCCTTGCAGAGCTGCTTCGCCGTGCTGCTGGGCGGGCCCGAGGAGACGGGGCGGCTGCTGGAGCACAGGTTCGACTACATCTTCTTCACGGGTGAGGGGGCCCGGCTGGGTCCTGGGGGGACGCTGGAGAACAGGGACAGGAAGGCTATGTAGGAAGACGAGGGGGTGACTAGCGGTGGGAGAAGCCCTGATGGCCACAGCCTGGGTAGGCAGGCCAGGCTCCTGGGGCGGGTTCCGGGGTGGCAGGCCCGGACAGTCAGCCCAACGGGAGAGGCAGGAGGGGCCGGGAAGCTGACGCTGAGCATCAGGCAAAGCTGCTCAGGCATTAGGCTCAACTCCTGTGTCCCCAGGGAGCCCGCGAGTGGGCAGGATCGTCATGACGGCCGCCGCCAAGCACCTGACGCCCGTCACGCTGGAGCTGGGGGGCAAGAACCCCTGCTACGTGGACAACAGCTGCGACCCCCAGACCGTGGCCAACCGCGTGGCCTTTTTCCGCTACTTCAACGCCGGCCAGACCTGCGTGGCCCCCGACTACGTCCTGTGCAGCCCCGCCACGCGGGAGCGGCTGCTGCCCGCGCTGCAGAGGGCCATCACCCGCTTCTTCGGCGAGGACCCCCAGCGCTCCCCCAACCTGGGCCGCATCATCAGTGAGAAGCAGTTCGGGCGGCTGCAGGGCCTGCTGGGCTGCGGCCGCGTGGCCATCGGGGGCCAGAGCGACGAGGGGGACCGCTACATCGGTGAGCCCGGCCTCCCCCCCCCGGCCCTGGGCTCGGGCCCCACGCTGGAGGCCGCGTGCAGGCCCCCCGGGAACCCGGCCCGGGGCTCCCAGGGCGCCCCGCCACGTCCCTGCGGCGTCCCGGGGGCTGAGCCGTCCCTGCGCCCGCAGCCCCCACGGTGCTGGTGGACGTGAAGGAGACGGAGCCGGTGATGCAGGAGGAGATCTTCGGGCCCATCCTGCCCATCGTGACCGTGGGGAGCCTGGATGAGGCCATCGAGTTCATCAACAGGCGGGAGAAGCCGCTGGCCCTGTACGCCTTCTCCAGCAGCAGCCGGGTGCGGCTCGGGGGCGGGGTGGGCGGAGGTGGGAGCGGGTGCCAGCAGGGCGTGGGGGCAGTGCAGCTGGGCAGCAGAGGGGCAGCAACCCCAGGGCCAGGGCAGACCCAGGGCCCGGCAGGGGCTAGCGGCGGTCAGGGCATCCTGGGACGGCGGCCGCCCAGCATCTGTCCTGTCCTTCCTCCTGGGAGCAGCCAGATTCCACCCCCACCCCCGTCCAGTCTGGGCTGCACACCCCTGGATCTGCAGAGGGCAGCTCTGCTGTGTCCCCCAGGGCCTGGTGTCCCCGTCGGCCCCACCTTCATTCCGTGCCTCCTGGCCAGTCGGGTGGCTGTGGTGCCCGCTCGGTGTCCGGCTCCTGGAAGGCGCCCCGGGAAATGACCAGAACACACAAGCCCGAGCCTGACCCCTGGACCAGCCTCGCCCACCCCGAGAGCGCGCGGGGACAACCCGGGCCCTCGGCCGCTCCGTTTCCTCTGCACCTGCCCTTTGCTCTGCCTGGGGGGGCCCTCGTCACGTCTCTGCCCCCCGAGACTCGAGACTCGGCAGGCACGTCCCGTCCCTCCCCTGGGAAGCCTCCCTGACGACCTGCCACCTCATCCCGCGTTCCCGGGTCCCCAGGTGCCTGCGGGCTGGCCGGGCGCCCCCGCGGGCCATCCGCGTCTCCACGCCCCTCCCAGGCCGCGCTGTGCGCTGGGGGCTCCGGCTCGGAGGCCGTGGGGCTCACTGCTGCTTCCCTGCAGGTGGTCCGGAGGGTGCTGGCCTGCACCAGCAGCGGGGGCTTCTGCGGGAACGACGGCTTCATGCACATGACCCTGGCCAGCCTGCCTTTCGGAGGAGTCGGTAGGTCTCAGGGCCGGCTGGCCGCATGGCGCCCGACACCTCGCCTGCATCCCCGCATGTCTGGGCAGAACATTCCAGATCTGCCTCTGTGTTGACGGACGCGGGAGGCCCACAGAGACAGTTAGAGCCATCACGGTGATGGCTCCAGGAGCAGCAAGGCTCACTGGGCCTCCCTCGCTGCGCCTCGCCCCCTCCCCGGCCCCCTTAGCATTCACCCCAAGGAGGCTGGGTGACAGGCCTCCCCCAACCCCCTCACCACTGGCACGTCCTGGTCTCCCAGGGGCCGCGTGATCTGGGGGAGCCACCTCACCTCTCAGGGCCCACTTCCTCCTGGGGGGGGCGGGGCGGGTCCCTCCAAGTCCACCCTCCACACCAGAGCAAACAGCCAGTGCCGTCTGGGCCCTGCCTGGAGAGCAGCCGGCGAGAGCCGAGGGCTCCGAGAACTGACCCCAGTGGGGCCTTCCTCAGGGAAGTGGGGTGTCTATCTGGGGTGATTCTGTAGTCACTGCATCTTATGAGGGGCTCCCAGGCCCCACAGGATGGAGTCAGGCCCAACTCACAGCTTCTTGAGGCAGATGCCTCTGGTCTGGCCGTGGGGGCCTGCTCTCCACTTCCTGCCCTGTCCACACTGAGCTCGGCCCAGGTCCTGACCCACCACACGTCACCCACCTCCAAAGCTGAGTTGTCCCCAAGCCTGGGCCACTCTCCTCGTCTGGTCAACATCACAGCCTCCAGCCTCGCTCACTCCAGGAAGCCCTCCTTGATTACCCCAGCCCACCCAGGCTGGGCTCCGGCCTGGTCCTTCACTGCCCCTCCCTTGTGGCTGAGGACTCAGAACGCAGCGCTTACTGTGCCACTGCCACCCAAGTCACAGGAATCCAAGGCGAAGTCTTGCCAAGGCAACCCGCTGGGACTCAGCCCTGGGCAGCCTGGCCTGGCCCCAGATCCATACTCTTGACCGAGCACCCCACACGGCCCCAGGGGTCCCCAGTGCTTATGGGCTGGTGCTGGTGAGGGTCAGGACTTGGCCCTTTACCCAGTGTCCCCTGATTAGCCCAGATGGGGCTACCCCTATTTGTAGATGGGGAAGCCACGACTGGGAGAGGTGAGGTGGCCCCCCCCAGGTCACGCCATGTGACTGGCAGAGCCAGATGTCCCCTGGGATGGTCACTGAGGGTCTGGCTCCGTGTCGGTGTCACTGTGCAGGTGCCAGCGGGATGGGCAGCTACCACGGCAAGTTCTCCTTCGACACTTTCTCCCATCACCGCGCCTGCCTGCTGCGCCCCCCGGGGCTGGAGAAGATCTACAGTCTGCGATACCCACCCTACTCGCCGGGCAAGCTGAGGCTGCTGCTGGTGGCCATGGAGGACCGAGGCTGCAGCTGCACCCTGCTGTGAGCCCGCCTCAGCCCAGGCACCCTCCCGGCTCATGCCCGGGGCCCAGGGCCCAGGGAGGAAAGGGCCTGCCTAGGCCTCCTCCTCCTCCTCCCCCCTCAGTTGAAGCCCAACTGGGACGGGTCACAGTGAGGGTGCGTGGAAGCTGTCACTGCCCTCCGGCTTGCCACCGTGCCTGGGAGAGGAAGGCAGATGTGGGCACCTCTGAGCCACTCCCCTACCCATGGAGGGTGCAGCGAGGGCCATGGCCTCTGGTTCAGGCCACACCGTGGACCCACTGAGCCCCAGGCCGGTCCTGCATCTGAGCCTGTCTCTCCACCAGTGGGAGGATGAGCCATCGACCCTCCTGAGGTCCCTGAGGGATGAAATTTGGGAATTTAGTAAACACAAGTCACTGACCCCAAGCTCCAAGCGTCCTGGCTCCTTGTTTGGGGGGTGAGGCAGCCTCTGCTCTCCCCACCTCTCCCTGCAGGTCAGGCTGATGAGACTGCTGCGGCGGGGATCTCCCACCCCCTGGGCTCCAGAGCCCTGAGCACACTCCACTCCGCCTCCCCAGGGGGTGGGGTGGCCCCAAAGCCTTACCCTCGCCACACTCCACCGGGCCTCGGCCTCTTCCTGTCCCCACTCACCCTCCTGGTCCCCATCCACTCAGCCAAGGCCAAATTGCTGTATCTTCCGCTGGACACCCCCTTCTCACCCAAGATCCACCTCTGGCCAAGTCCTGATGGTTCTACAACCCCCAAAACTTGCTCCATCCACACACCAGCCCACACACCCAGGATCACTCGGTCACTCATCACCTCCCTCTGCACCACCCTCCATCATATTCCCCAAGCTCTCACTGGACCAAGCCACCACTCAGCCTGAAGCCCTTCACTGCGGCCAAGCCCAGACTCCTAAAGATCCTCAGAGGGCTCCGCCATGTCCCTGTGTCCCTGCACTCGGCCAGTCCTGTCCTTTTCTGATGCACATGACACGCCCCCCTCCTCCTCCTTAGAGTTCTGCACACACAAAGGGAATGCCTCTCCGCCTTCCTGGCCTGTCAATTCCCACTGCTAGCTTGGACCTCACCTCCTCCAGGAAGCCTTCCCTGATCTCGTCCCCCCGCCCCGCCCCCAGCAGACGGCCTGGTGGGGGTGGCCCATAGGCCCATACAACCTACTGGGAAGGGCCTCCCCTGGTGGCGCAGCAGTTGAGCGCTGGGCTGCAAAGCTGCCAGCAGCCTCTGCAGCGCCGGTTCGATCCCCGGCTGCTCCCCGGCCACCGGAGGAGGGTCCCGCATGGCGCGCAGACCTCTCCTGCCGCCCGCTGCTCCACTCAGCAGTGTCCTTCGGTCCTTCTGCCTGCTCTGGCTCTGGTGAATTCTCTCACCCTCCCGCGCTTCTGACTGTACCCAGTGCTTGTGTAAATAAACAAACCTTTAAAAATAAATAAAAAAGCTTAAAAAAAAAAGGCCATTAACTGGGAAAACACAGGTCTGATGGGTGATGACGGGGGCGGGCGCCGAGTCGCGCGCGGATCTGCGGGGGGCAAGGCTGCGCGCACGTCGGCGCCTCAGTTTCCCCACCTGCCCGGCGAGCGCCCCCGGCGCCGTCGCGCTCTGCCCGCCGTTACACGCCGACCCCGGCGCCGGCGCCTCCGAGCCCCCACACCACGCCCCGGATGTCCCGCCTCCCGCGACGCCAGAGTCCTCGCTTATTGGCCGCCCCATTCAACATGGCGGCGCCCTACGCAACCTCAAGCGCCTGCCCCACCCGAGCCAATCAGAGGAGGGGAGGTTCCGCATCCCGCCCTTTCGGCTGAACCACTAACCAATCAGACCCCATCATGGAAGGTCAGCGTGGAAAAGGCGAAGCCACCCGGCCCAATGGCAGCGTCCCAGAGGTAGGCTCCGCCTCTCGGCGGACAGGCGGCCGGGCTGGGGAAGGAGCGGAGGTGCTTCAAGGTGGGTGTCCGAGGACCCGCTGTGAAGGCCGGCCCGGGCAGCGTGACATCGGGGCGCGTGTGGGGACCCCGCCCCACCCGCGGGCCGCGCGACCGGGCGTCACCTCGGCCCCGCGAGACTCACGGTCTCCTTGTCCTTGAGCTGCGGCGGGCGGACTGGGACGCCGGCCCCCGGGGCGCATGCGCCGCCCGCGCCGGCCGCCTGCCCCGCGGGGTCAGAGGTCATGGGAAAGGCCCGGGAAGGTGCCCTCGGGCGCCTGGCGCGAAGTCGGTGGTTGAAGGAGAGGGGCCCGGGCCACGCTCGCGGCTCCCGCGCCCCCGCTCGGCGCCCGGCCCCGGCCGTGTGCGGCTCCGGCCTCCGGCCCCACTTCATGGGGGAGAGTCGGCGCGGGGTCTCGCCGCCCAGCCCCGCGGCCGGCGCCGGCCCGAGGCCCTTCCCGCAGCGCTGACCCGGAAGGGACCCTGATCTGAGGGGCTGACGGGGCCCCGCAGGGGAGCCTTGGGGTCCCCCCCCCCCCCGCAGGGCTTTGGGCAGGTCGCTGACCGCGCCCTCCTCGTCCTCCCTGGGTCCTCTGGCAGGGCTGACCCCAGCACAGTGCCTGGCACCGGGGGCGCCCAGGGGTGGCAACTGCCAGGTCCGATCCGGGAGGGTGAGCAGGGGAGGGGAGATGTGGAGGCTGGAGCCCGCTTCAGGGGTGCAGTGGAGGAGTGGGCGGTAAAGATTTCTTAGGAGGTCCAGTAGACAGGACTTGGGGTCCACAGAGCCTCCCTAAATCTTAGTCCAGTTGAGCTGGCCAGATCTGAGGACTTGGGGGCACAAGGGGCTCCTGCTGAGCCAGAGTTCCTGGGGGCAGCATCTGGGCCCCACCTGCGCCCCCTCCCTTTTCCTGCCCGCAGATGCATTGCCTGACTTTACCCACACTGCTGCGGGCCCTGACCCAGGCTGCGCGCACAGGTAGGCGGCGGGAGCCTTTCCTGGGTGTGGGGGAGCTGAGTCCCCGGCACGAGGTTACCACTGCACTCCCTCTCCTCGCAGGACATCCCTGTGGCCGCAGCCTCCACAGCAGCGCAGTGGCAGCCACATACAGTGAGTTCTGGGGTGCTCCGAGACACAGGTGCCCCCCCCCCAGGCCTCAGCTTCTACTCTGTAAAATGAGGATGACCATGATAGCCTGTCACTTGTGGGGCAGAGTCCATCTTGCAGGGCAGGGAGCGGGGAGGGGCTCCCCTGTGCGACATGGTGCCATCTCAGCGCTCCCCTGTGTGGGGTAGGAGGGAGCTGCCCAGTGTGAGCCTGGGGCGCTGAGCTGGGCGCATGCACTGCCCTGGGGAGCCCCCATGTGTGTACCTCCTCGGGCCTGGGCTGTGTGAGGCTGCACCAGGCCCGCTGCCACGGCTCACCGCCTGCGTCCCGCAGAGTACGTGAACCTGCGTGAGCCCTCGATGGACATGAAGTCGGTGACTGACCGGGCGGCGCAGACCCTGCTGTGGACAGAGCTCGCCCGAGGTGGGCCCTGGGCGGAGGGGCCGGGCGGGCTGGAGGCAGGCTCGGGCGTGAGGAAGGCACCCCCATCACTGTCGGCTGCCCCACAGGCCTGGGCATGACGCTGAGCTACCTGTTCCGGGAGCCGGCGACCATCAACTACCCCTTTGAGAAGGGCCCGCTGAGCCCGCGCTTCCGTGGGGAGCACGCACTGCGCCGGTACCCCTCCGGGGAGGAGCGCTGCATCGCCTGCAAGCTCTGTGAGGCCATCTGCCCAGCCCAGGTGAGCCCCTGGCCCCCGTGGCCGCCGCTGGCTCCTGCCTGCAGGGAGGAGGCACAGCCTGCTGCTGAGGGAAGGAAATAACTCCGAGTGGCCCTGCACCCAAACTCTGACCCGGGCTGAGCATGTGTCCCCAGGAAAGTCCCGTCCCTCTGAGCAGGGGGTGAGGAGGGGACTTCCCCCATGAGTGGCACCGATGAGACTCTTGCCAGGATCGTCTGGGGAGGGAAGTTTCTGCCCTGAGCAGAATAATCGACACAGGCGGGTCTCAGCCTTGTGGGTCTGGTTAGGGCCATGAAAACTGGGCCTCTGGGCTACAAGGTGGCCCCTGGGAACCTCCACTTTTCCCTGGACGCAGCAGCTGTTTTAGGAGCCCTGTCCAGGTGCCCAACACCGGGCCGGACCCAGGGCACGCATGCCCCTGGCAGTTGCGCCCCAGAGTGTCCCCACATGTGGTTCTGATGTTGGGGGGTCCCACATAGTCAGGCCCTGATAATGCAGCAGACACAGTTGTGTCTCTTGCAAACCCAAGCATGTCCCCAGAGCAGCCTGGCAGCACCGGGGGTGCTTCCTGCCCACACAACCCTGCCTGGTGGCTGCCTCAGAACCACCAGTGGGCCCCTTTCAGCTCCTCTGGGCCGTGGCCTTGATGTCTGCAGCGTGGCCTCGGGCCTGGTGCACGGAGCAGCCCCAGCAGCATAGATCATGGTGGCTTCCGTCGCCCGGGGCATAGGTCCAGAGTCACGCTCTGGATTTAGCTTTATAGCAACTTCAGGAGGCAGAGGTGACCCCCATTTTTACAAATGAGGAAACTGAGGTACAGAGAGATGAGGCCACCAGCCAAAGGGGTGTACACTCCTAGGGACATGCCAGGTCCTTTTGAAGGCGCCGCTGATGGTGGGAGGCCCCGGGACACCCCCCCTCCCCTGCCAGCACGAGGCTGCGCTGGGGTTAGGGTCTGCGAGCCTGGGTCTGGCCCTCACTTGCTGCATGGCTTTGGAGCCCCTCAACCTCTGAGCCGCGGCTTTCTCAAAACCCTTTCCCAGGGGAGCTCCGGGCCAGTGGGGCAGTTCGGCGTAGCAGCCGCGCTGGGCACTGGTTCCGGGCTCAGGCCGCCCGGTGCTGACTGGAGGGGGCACGGCAGCAGCTCCCCTTGGGGACCTGTGTTGGGGCGGGGGTGCTGGCAGTTAAACAACAATTGGTCGGGTCTCAGCAGAGGAGCCAGGGAGGGCACGTGAGGGCTCAGCGTGGACGATGGTGCACTCTGTAGGCCCCCTGGGAGGAGGCTGACTCAGGGCTGGGAGTGGGGGGTGCTGTGGTGGCTGTACCCCACGCCTTGCCCCCAGGCCATCACCATCGAGGCTGAGCCGCGAGCAGACGGCAGCCGCAGGACCACCCGCTACGACATCGACATGACCAAGTGCATCTACTGCGGCTTCTGCCAGGAGGCCTGCCCGGTGGACGCCATTGTAGAGGTGAGCGGGGCCCGGGGGGTGGGGGGCTGGCTCCCTGGAGGGGCCTCACACAGCGCCTGCCCCCCCACCTGCAGGGCCCCAACTTTGAGTTCTCCACGGAGACGCACGAGGAGCTGCTGTACAACAAGGAGAAGCTGCTCAACAACGGGGACAAGTGGGAGGCTGAGATCGCCGCCAACATCCAGGCCGACTACCTGTACCGGTGACGGGCCGCCGTGGCCCCCGCGCAATAAAGAGCTCTCCTGGCCCGCCTCCTGTCTTGGCTCTGCTGTCCTGGGAAGGCCTGTTGCTGCCCGACCTGGCCTTTGGTTCCCCCGTGGCTCGGGCAGAGCCGGCCCGGCCCTCCGGCGGTCTCTGTGGAAACGTCAGCCCCTCCCCGCGGCTGGGCCCTGCAGTTCCCTCGCCCATGCCTACCCGGGGCCTGTCCCCAGGGCTTCGCAGGCCAGAGGTCTCTGCGGCTGTTCCCCTAGGCCTGGGTGCCCAAGGGTGAGGCTGGGCCTGTCCTCTGCCGAGGGCCACCACAACTAGACCCTTAGGCCTCAGGCAGAAGTTTATCACGAGACAGAAGCAGGCCAGGCCAGGGCATCCTTGTGGGGGCAGGGGAGCCTGTTCTGAGGCGACAGTCATGAGGGAGTGACGCAAGCCCTGCTGCCCCTGAGCTGGCCTGGCCTCGCCTCCAGCCACATCCCCTTCCCTCCCCGGGTCACGCTGCTGGCTTGGCTTCTGCTCGGGACTTCCTGCTTTGTGGTGCCAGCAAGCGGTGTGGCTTCCAGCGGGGACACGCACGCCCCGTGCCTCGGGATAGCCGAACGTCGGCGCTTGGCTCCCTGCTCGGCTCCGTGAAAGGGCTTCTTTTTCCTAGTTGAAGCCGCGCCGCGGGCTGACATGTTTCAGGTGCGCGTCCTGAGAATCGCTTTGTGGAGGGGCGGCAGCGCGTGCTCAGCCGTGACGCGGGCGAAGTGATTCGCATCACACAGCGTGGACCCTGGAAAACCAGCTCACGGCCAGGGCTCTGAGTCCCCCTTCTTGGTCACTTCCAAAACTGCTTTTTACGAAGCCAACCCCAGATGCTTCTGGAAAGAGGGGAGAGGCGGGTGGTTCTGTGGGCCAGCGGTGTGGGAAGAGCCCCGGGCCCGCTCCCCTGGGCAGGCACCGCGGTTAGCACCCAGGCGGCTCTGAGGCCTGCAGCAAAGAGGCCCGGCCTTGCCCCAGCTCCTCCGCAGACCCCGCCAGCTATGGCCCCACCCTGACACAAGTTGCCAGGACCTGCTTGTGCCCCACCCCTGGCCAAGCTTGGGCACAGGGCACAGCGTGAGAAGGAAGTGCCGGACCCGGGGAGGGTTCCTGTGTCGGGCCACTGCTGGGGCAGGAGCCCGTTGCAAAGAAAGACCCTGTCCTGAGTCACCGCAGCTGGTTCGCCGCCTGGACGCTGGCGTAGAGGCGTGGATGGGCCTGTCTGCCTGCGGTGACCCCGCTCCCACGTGGCACGGCGTCTGCCATGAGGAAGCCCTTCGGCATCGAGATCTGGGGCCCGTTACCCAGCAGGGCGGTACTGACCTGAGGCCTGACCCTGGTGCTCCGAGGTCCCCGGGAGCCCCACGCTGCCCCAGAGGAGGCCCGCTCTCCTGAGGACGCTCACCTTGGCTGTGACTCAGCTCCCAGCCCCGGCCTGGGGGATCCACTTGCCAGCTCATTCCCACCCCTCAGGGGCCCTTGTGTGGGGTTCAAGGATCACCAGAGCAGAGGAGCCTCTTTCCTCTCCCCAGTGGGTACGGCCTGGCCGGGCCCAAGGGCAGCACCTGGACCGTCTGAAGGCGGCTCGTGAGGAGCAAGGTCGCCGGACAGGACAGGCCGGCGCGGGTGGAGTGACAGGGGACCTGAGAGCAGGCCCAGCGCCTGCAGGGGGCGGGCCCTGGACAGCGCAAGGGTCCGACCCGCAGGGGAAGGAGGCCCAGAGGCCCGCGCTGCCCGAGGGCCGGCCCCGGTGCGGGGTCGGGGGCGGGGAGCGGAAGGGCTGGCGTCGCCGGCCCTCCCTCGAGAGCACGGCCCCACTGGGGAGCGCGCCGGGCTCGCGCGGGTCTCGAGTCCAGGTCTCAGGTCTCGGGGTCCCGGCAGCACAGACCAGCACAGCGAGCCTCTGACTGGTGGCGGGCGGGGCTGGGGAGCCCCACCCCTAGCTCTTGGGGGGCTGGACTCCGCGCCTCGCTGCAGGCTGGCCGCGCAGATGCGGACCGCCGCGCGCCTCTGCCCGGTCCCCGCTTCGCGGAGGTTAAGTTCCCTGCGCCCCCAAAACGCTCCCAGCCGAGGCCCTGCCTCCCTCCGCGGGCGCCGGGGCGGGGCCGGGGCGGGGCCGGGCGGGGCCTTCTTGGCTCCGCCCCGCCTTTCGGGGAGCGACTGAGCTGCGTGGGCGCGGGGAGCGGCGCGCAGAGCCCGGAGCGCGGAGCCGGGGTGCAGAGCCCGCAGCGCCGAGGCCGGGGTGCAGAGCGCGGAGCCCGGAGCGCGGAGCGCAGAGGCCGGGGCGCGGCGCGGAGCGGACGGCCGGGGTGAGTGCCCCGCCGCGGGCCTCGGAGCCCCGAGTCCCGCCTGCGGCCCAGGAGGAGCCTGGTCCCCCGCCCACCTGGTCGGGGGTGCAGCTCTGCCGCGGGGCCGCCCGCGTCGGCCTCGGCGGGCGCTCGGGCCGGCGGGCGGAGCAAGGGGCGCGAGCCCCGGCCGCGCGGGGGGCCCCCTGCCGCGGGAGGGGAAACTGAGGCCCGCCCGCCGGGAGTTGCGGGCGGAGACGGCGGGTGATCGGGACGCTGGAGCCGGCCTGCTTGGAAGGGGTGGCAGACCCTCTCCCCAGCAGCTCCTGGGGGGGGCCGGGGGCCGGGAAGAGAGGGGGTTCCTGGGGGAATCAGCCTCGGCCCCCAGCCGTCCCCGGGGAGGGGAGGGGCACCGGGGAGGAGGGGGCCGGAGTCTGCACCCTGAAGACCACAGGGCTGAGGCTCCTCGAGTGTGCCCCACAGTGGGGGGCGCTCGGGCAAGCGCCCTGGAGGGTGAGGGGAAGGGGCTGAGCCAGTCACAGCCCAGAATGCCCAGGGGCCCCTGAAATGACCAGGTGCCGACGCCCCCGTGCCCACCACAGCTTCTGCCCCCCATGGGAAATGCCCAGCCCCCAGGGAGCCACCCCTTGGGCCAGGGGCTGCGGGAGACCGCGGGGACCCTGAGGGGGGACCACCAGGCCGGAGCTGCCATGGCGGAGCCCCACCTGGCTCCCTGCCAGTCCCCAGCGGCCAGCCCCGTCTCTGCTGGCCAGGGCAGCCCTCCCCGCGCGCACACCCCGTGCTGGGACTTCAAACCTGCCGCCACCTGCCTGCAGCTGCCTCCCGCTCGCCTGCTGGCCCCTGAGCGCAGCCCCCTCCCCTGCCAGTCTACGAGGGCCGCGGCACCCTCCCTTGGGTGACGGGGCTGCTCGGGGACTCTGGTTATTTTTGCTGCCTCCCCACCCAGATCCCGTGGCGGGGCCAGCCAAGCCCCATCCCCGAAGAGGAAGTGGAGGCCAGAGAGGGCGAGACCCGCCCCCAAGACCACGCAGCCTATCACAGCCAGGTGCCCGCCCGCCGCCGGCCTCCTGCCCACCTTCCCGGCCCTGGCTCCTGGCCTGGGCTGGGGGGCGCGGCAGTTCCCTATTTCATCTTAAGAAAGCCGGGCCCAGGGGAGGAAGTGACCAGCAGGGCAGGCCCCAGCCCGCCCAGACAGCAGGCGGGGCTCTCCAGTGCCAAACATGCACCCTGTCGGTGGGGCCTGCACCCGTGCCCACGCCCCCGCCCCCCAATCTGTAAGCTTTGGAAACTGAATCCCACAGAGGGGAAGTGGCTGGGCCTGGGCCCCTAAGGCAGTGGCCACGGGAGTCCCCGCTTGGGGGTGGGGCTTCCAGGCCCTTCCCGCCCATTTCACGGTTTCACTTTCACTGGTTGCGACACCTGGACGGCCTCCCGCCCCTGCCCGCAGTGCTGGACCGGTGCGGGCAGGCCAGGCCTCAGGGAGGGCCGCTGGTCACGGCCTCCACCCGCCGAGCCCCCAGGGGCCGTCGAGCCCCTGCCAAGGCACAGACACCTCAGCGCGGAGGAGCAGCCTGTGGGGACACCTACCCCTGCCCTGGTGTCCTGTCACGGGCGCTCCCTGGGGAGGAAGGAAGGGCTCAGGGCCGGGATGCTGGCCGCTGGAGGTGGCTTTGGCCTGGGGCCCCAAGGATGAGTCGGATCTAGGGCGAGGGCAGGTCACAGGCCAGACAGCGGGGCAAGAGATGCACGTGAGGAGCCAGCAGTGTGGGGAGGCAGGGGGCAACAGGGCCTGGGACAGGCAGAGCCCGCTGGAGAGAGCTTGGGCTGTGGCCAGCTTGGGCCTGGCCAGGCCAGGCCCCAATCCCGGTCATGCTGCTGACATCCTGTGCGACCTGCACACCCCGGGGGGCCTTCTGGGCCTCGGTGTCCCCATCTGTCAGAGGCGGGTGGTAGCAGGACCTTCCAGGGTCATACAACTCCATTCAAACTACCTGTGGCCTGGCCAGACTGAGCCCCACCCCTCCCGCCCCCCAGGACCATGGGCTCCATGTTCCGGAGTGAGGAGGTGGCACTGGTGCAGCTCTTCCTGCCCACCGCCGCGGCCTACACCTGCGTGAGCCAGCTGGGCGAGCTGGGCCTCATGGAGTTCAGAGATGTGAGTGCGGCCGGGTGGGCGTAGAGGGGACCCCATCCTGTGTCCTAGAGGGCGGGCAGCCTGCCCCAGGATGACCCCAGCCCTGCTTGCTTCCCCGCCGGCTCAGCCACAGATGCTCTGTAGGGCCAGCTTTGCCCACGTTGCCCGAGGGGTCTTCTGGGGAGGTCGCCCTGTGCTCAGCATCTTTTTGGAGAAAGTTCGAGGAGAGCTAGGCTTGGGTCCTGGGGTGCGGGCCTCCCTGGGCCCTCCCTGAAGTCTGAGTCCCCCCGCTCAACCCCAGCTCAACGCCTCGGTGAGTGCCTTCCAGAGACGCTTTGTGGTGGATGTTCGACGCTGTGAGGAGCTGGAGAAGACCTTCAGTGAGTTGGCCCCAGGCCCACAACTCCAGGCTTCCTGGAGGAGCTGCCAGTCAAGCTCGGTCTGAGAGGAGGAGTCTGGGTCACCCAGGTGGAGGCAGAGAAAAGGGGTGCAGGCCAGGCCCTGAAGGGCCAGCACTGGGCAGTTGGGTCTGTGGGATGTTCTTGGGAGCTGGCAGGTGGAACCAGAGCAGAGGACCCAGGACTAGCTTGAAAGAGGCTTGGACTCCCCCATGGGGCCACGGGATTTCATCCCACGGACGGGGAGCCACCACGCAGGGGAGCGGCGCCGACAGAGCTCTGTCCACTGCTGGTGGGCTGAGGGACTGGGGTGGCGGAGGCCAGGACCTCCAGGGACCACCTCCTGCTTTAACCCGAGCAAGACGGACCCCTTCCTTGTGCCCACTCAGGCGGCCCCTCCCAAGAGGCGCCCGCACCCACCGCCAGTTTGGCTTAGTGCTTCGTTTGCTGGGTTGATCGCTTTGAAGTAATGGGGGGGTTCTGTGTGGGCTCGAGGGACACTCGGGTCCCGGCACCGCAGGGCCGCCTGTCCAGGAGACCGAGGTGGGCCCCAGGCTCTAAGCAAGGAGATGAACTCGGAGGGAGGGGACCAGGCCTGTGGGGCTGGGGTGTTCTGGGGTTCTCAGGCTTGGTGAAAAATCTAGCTGGTGGCCCGTGGAGTTTAGGGTGGCACTTGGCACCCCCAAGATGCTCGCCAGCCCTGGGCCCATGGGGCCATCAGTGGGTGGCGGCTCCTGAGGGCCTCCCCTGCACCCAGGCTTCCTGCAGGAGGAGGTGCGGCGGGCGGGGCTGACCCTGCCCCCGCCCGAGGGACACCTACCGGCGCCCCCGCCCCGAGACCTGCTGCGCATCCAGGAGGAGACAGATCGCCTGGCCCAGGAGCTCCGGGATGTGCGGGGCAACCAGCAGACCCTGCGCGTCCAGCTGCAGCAGCTGCGGCTCCACGCGGCCGTGCTGAGCCAGGGCCACGGCCCCCAGGTCAGCACCAGCCCAGGCGGGGTGGGGAGGGCCGGGGTGCCAGCCCATGGGGCTCACCGTGCCCCTTGCTCCCAGGTGGCAGCCGCCCATGCAGATGGGGTCTCAGATAGGATCCCCCTGCTCCAGGCCCCCGGGGGGCCACACCAGGACCTGAGGGTCAAGTGAGTGAGGTTCACGCCTTTCCCCATCAGCCTTGGCCACAGGGTCAGGCCCGGCTGGGACTCCTCGTCCAGTGCTCTCCCCCGGCCCCTGCCTCCTCCCTCCACCTGGAATTTTCTCCCCGGGGGAGGTTAGCCCTGGGGTGCAGGCCAGGCGCTGAGTGACCGTCTGACCTGTGGCACAGCTTCGTGGCAGGGGCCGTGGAGCCACACAAGGCGGCCGCCCTGGAGCGCCTGCTGTGGCGGGCCTGCCGGGGCTTCCTCATCGCCAGTTTCAGGGAGACAGAGCAGCAGCTGGAGGACCCCGTGACGGTGAGCGGAAGGGGCCCACGCCGGGGTGTTCCTGGGCAGAGCCAGGGCCCCGGGGTAAGCCGGCCTCTCCGCAGGGTGAGCCGGCCACGTGGATGACCTTCCTCATCTCCTACTGGGGAGAGCAGATCGGGCAGAAGATCCGCAAGATCACCAGCTGGTGAGCCCTGCCTGCGGGATGCCGCCACTCCCTTGTGCTCCAAGGCCCCCACGTCCTGGGCCCCAGCCCCCCAAGGTTCCCTGCATCCACCTGCCCTGTGTCCCCACACTGTGCAGTGAGCACGCCTAGGCCTACTGTGCCCGGCCAGCCCGGGCACCCTCAGTCTCCCTCCCTCCCTGCCAGCTTCCACTGCCACATCTTCCCGTTCGCGGAGCAGGAGGCCCGGCTTGGCGCCCTGCAGCAGCTGCAGCAGCAGAGCCAGGAGCTGCAGGAGGTGGGCACCCCTCACCCCGCCGGCCTGGCTGGACCCCACCGGCCACCGCCTGCCCCTGCTGATCACCCCTCTGGCCGCAGGTCCTGGGGGAGACGGAGCGCTTCCTGAGCCAGGTGCTGGGCCGGGTGCAGCGGCTGCTGCCGCCCTGGCAGGTGCAGGTCCGCAAGATGAAGGCCGTGTACCTGGCGCTCAACCAGTGCAGCGTGAGCACCACGCACAAGTGCCTCATCGCCGAGGGCTGGTGCGCCGCCCACGACCTGCCCACCCTGCAGAGGGCGCTGCAGGACAGCTCGGTGAGCCTCTGCTGCTCTGCAGCACACTTCTCTTCCTGGCCACACTTATCTGGGGCACCCCCTCCTCCAGGGAGTCCACCCAGCTGGCTCTGTCCCAGCCAGCCCTGGGACTCCCAGAGCCTTGGAGTGGAGGCTGCACAGGGCGTGACGAAAAGGCAGGAGCTGCCCTGCAGGCGCTGACCCTGTCACTTTGGGACCTTTGATGGGGGCCTCTGTGAAGTGGGCGGGTGACCTCCTGGGGACGCGGCGGTGGGTCCTCGGTACGCAGGGGCGAGGGCAGTCTTCCTGGAAGTGGCAGCCGTTTCCTCAGTGACTTCCAGTTCACCAGCCCTGCAGACTCTCCCTCCAGGCCCCTGAATTGAGGTGTTGGCGGGAGGCAGCTGGGGACAGAGCGGAAGGGCTGCCTTGCCTCCCCACGCCCGCCCAGGGGGCCCCCGTGACGCCACCACCCCAGAGGGCTGGTCGGGGGTCCGAGGCCCCGCCATCAGCCTCCTGTCTCTCTGCCCGCGGCCAGAGCGAGGAGGGCGTGAGCGCCGTGGTCCACCGCATCCCCTGCCGAGACATGCCCCCCACGCTCATCCGCACCAACCGCTTCACGGCCGGCTTCCAGGGCATCGTGGACGCCTACGGCGTGGGCCGCTACCAGGAGGTGAACCCCGGTGAGGCCCGGGACGGCAGTCCGGGGGCGTCTGCACGCCTGGGCCGGGGGGTGCTCTTTATTCCCGGCGGCCCCTGGCCAAGCTTACGGGGGCCAGCACAGGAGCGGGCAGGAGCCGGCAGGAGCGGCCTGGGTGTGAGGTCCGGCTCGCTTATCCCCATAAGTCTCTTCGCTGCGCTGAGCCCCGGTTTCCCGCTCTGTAAAACGGGAAGAAGAAGGGAGGGGCCGTGAGGGAAGGGCTGGGAGGCGAGAGATGGTCAGGGGCTCACACTGCAGCCCGCGGGGCCGGAGCCAGCCTCATCGCAGGGAGTCTCGGGGGTGGCCTTGGGGGGCTCTCCCGGAAGCTGCCCGTGGGGGGCTCTGGTGCACGTGTTCTACTAAGAGAGGTGCTCCGGGGAGAAACCAGTAAGGGGCTCGGGGTGCAGCGGGGAGAGCTAAGCAGGGCCGTGCAGGGGCTACAGGGGGTAAACGACACCCCTGGCCTGCCTCAGGCTGGCGAGCTGACCCAGCAAAGGGCAGTGTGGGCAGCTCCAGGCACGCCTGCTGGGCCTCACCGCCCGGAGCGGCTGCTCTCTGAAACTGGGCCTTTGGGGAGTGGAGGGCACCCCAGTGTGGCGGAGGAGGAGCTGCGCCTGGCAGGCCGTGAGTGCTGTGTGGAAACCGGAGTTTTTATGAGTCCACATTTCACGAGACGCTCACAAAAAGTGAGATCCGGCAGCACAGCGCCTCCCGCACCCCACCCTACACAGAGGCGGGGGCAGGGGTGGCCCCTGCTGGCCCGTGCCTCTCCCTAGTGTCCCCACCTCACCGAAGGGAACCAGGGCCTCGGCGGTGGCGTGGCCGCGGCCTTCTGGAAGCTGCTGCCAGGACAGGACTGCCTCTAGGCCTGCAGTGCCCTCTCCATCTGCTTAAAGCTCCTCCGTTCTGTCCGCTCCGAGTAGCCGCATCTGCTGGCTTGCTCGGCGCGTCTGCCGGGCCCGCCGCGGGCCGGCTCCTTACGGGCCAGCGAAGCGGGCGAGTTGATGTTTCCGCACAGAGGGCTTGGGGAGGTCAGGGCCCGGGCCCGCGGCCACACAGCCAGCAGCTGGCAGGCCTGTAAACGTGGGCGAGCAGCCTGCTGCCCGCCTCCCAGCAACACCCCTGAGTTCTGGGCCCCGGAGCCCGCGGCGGGGCCTCTGTGCGTCCGGCACGGGGAGCGGACTGCCGTGTCCGTGGGGCCCTGGCTGACCGCCGGCCGCTCTGCCCGCAGCGCCTTACACCATCATCACCTTCCCCTTCCTCTTCGCCGTCATGTTCGGTGACGTGGGCCACGGGCTGCTCATGTTCCTCTTCGCCCTCGCCATGGTGATCGCCGAGAACTGGCCGGCGGTGAAGACGGCACAGAATGAGGTGAGGGGCCCGGCGGGGGCCGGGGGGCAGGGGCTGGGGGAGCCCGCAGGCCCTCACCCACCCCTGCCCCCAGATCTGGAGGACCTTCTTCGGGGGCCGCTATCTGCTCCTGCTCATGGGCCTGTTCTCCATCTACACCGGCTTCATCTACAATGAGTGCTTCAGCCGCGCCACCGCCATCTTCCCCTCGGGCTGGAGCGTGGCCACCATGGCCAACCGGTCCGGCTGGAGGTGAGTGAGGCCCCCGGGGCCCCGGCCGCACGCCCCTGTGCCCCTGCGGCCCTGACCACCGCCTGCTCCGCTGCAGCGATGCCTTCCTGGCCCAGCACCCGCTGCTCACCCTCGACCCCAACATCACTGGCGTCTTCCTGGGGCCCTACCCCTTTGGCATCGACCCTGTAAGTCCCGCGCTGGCTGTGGGGGCCGCTGGGAGGAGGGCAAGTTGGGGCACCCCTTCCTCCAGCCATGTTCGCCGGCCCTCCTGGGTGACGCCCCCCTCTGCGCCGCCCCATCCCCACTGCGGGGCAGATAGTGCCGAGGCCCGAGGGGGCCGCAGGCTGACGGCGGTATCACCACCCCTCCCGCCACCCAGATCTGGAGCCTGGCGGTCAACCACCTGAGCTTTCTCAACTCCTTCAAGATGAAGATGTCCGTCATTCTGGGGGTCACTCACATGGCCTTCGGCGTGGTCCTGGGAGTCTTCAACCACGTGTGAGGCCCGGGTGCGGGGTGCAGGGAGGCACGCGGCTGGGTGCTGGCAGCGGTGGCTGACGGCCGCCCCACCCCACCTAGGCACTTCGGCCAGTGGCACCGGCTGGCGCTGGAGACACTGCCGGAGCTGGTCTTCCTGCTGGGCCTGTTCGGCTACCTGGTCTTCCTGGTCTGCTTCAAGTGGCTACGGGTCTCGGCCGCCGGCGCTGCCTCCGCCCCCAGCATCCTCATCCACTTCATCAACATGTTCATGTTCTCCCCCAGCCCCACCAACCCGGCCCTGTTCCACGGGCAGGTGGGCCGGGCCGGGCTGCAGGGTCCTCACCAGAGAGGGATGCAGGCGTGAGGCCGGGAGACAGGAGGCGGGCGGTAGGGGCCGGGCCGCACCCAGGAGCAGCCCCCGCGTGGGTCGAGTGGCTCGGGCTGGGTGTTCGTCTCCAGGGGCCCTGACCTGTGCCCCCTGCAGGAGGTGGTGCAGTCCACGCTGGTGGGCCTGGCCTTGGCCACGGTGCCCGTCCTGCTGCTCGGCACGCCCCTGTTCCTGCGCTGGCAGCACCACCGCCGCCATTCCAGGAGGCCCGCGGGCCGGCAGGTGGGAGGGGGCGCATGGTGGGAGGGCCGCCTGGAGGTGGGGCGCTGCCAGACCCTGGGGCTCATTTCCCCAAGTGGCCGAGAGCAGGCAGTTGGGGCGGCCTGGGCCCGGGGCTGCTGACGCTGCTGGCTTTCCCCCAGGACAAGGACAGGGCCGTGCTGCTGGACGCTTCGGGCTCTGACGAGGAGAAGGGGGAGGCCCCGGAGGCCCCAGAGGAGGCTGAGGTGGGTATTGTGGTCTCTGGGCAGGGCGGGTGCGGGGCCACCAGCCTGGCCAAGCCCTAACTGCCGCCCACAGCTTGTCCTGTCAGAGGTCTTCATGCACCAGGCCATCCACACCATCGAGTTCTGCCTGGGCTGCATCTCCAACACGGCCTCCTACCTGCGCCTCTGGGCCCTGAGCCTGGCCCACGCCCGTGAGTATGCCCGGCCGCTCGGCTGCCGGCCAGGTGGCCTCAGTGTCCCCCCTGCTGGCCCCACAGGGAATGGGGTGCTTCTGAGGGGGCTGGCGGGCACCCCCTCGGCCCTGATCCCACGGCCTCTCTCGGCCCACAGAGCTGTCAGAGGTGCTGTGGGCCATGGTGATGCGCGTGGGCCTGGGCATGGGCCGCAGGATGGGCGTGGCAGCCGTGGTGCTCGTGCCGGTCTTCGCTGCCTTTGCCATCCTGACCGTGGCCATCCTGCTGGTGATGGAGGGGCTCTCCGCCTTCCTGCACGCGCTGCGGCTGCACTGGTGAGCGGTCACCCTGCCCGTCCCTGGCCCCGCCCCGCCCCCGCCCTGCCCCTGCCTGCGCTCAGCCGCCCCCCTCGCCCCCAGGGTGGAGTTCCAGAACAAGTTCTACTCGGGCACCGGCTACAAGCTGACGCCCTTCACCTTCGCCGTGGAAGAGTAGCAGCCCGCCAGGGCCCTGCCCGTGACCCCTGCCCTGGCTGGTGGGGAGGAGAGGAATAAAGAGGAGACGCCGGGAACTGTGTCTGGCTCTCGTCTGAAAGACCCGGGGGCTGGGCCGTCCTGCCCACCAGCCTCTCGAGCCAGCCTCTGGGCCCTTGGCCCTCACATCCCCTTTTGTAGCTGAAGTGGGTGGGGGACACTGGGGCAGGAGGCCCTGGTGCAGGATCTGGGCCTCGAGAAGTTGGGGAGAAGACTCATGAGCACACCTGCCATAATCCCACTTGGGGGACACGGGGGCATGGTGGGACCAAGAAGGGGTGATTCTGACACATGTTGGCTGCGAATGTATATTCCAGGCTGGGGTGTGAGTACCCCATCCTTTGGGTGTGCAAACTGGTGGAGAATGTTTGGGGGGCATCAGCACGAGTTGGCCCGCAGCCCTGCACCCACGCCTGCACCACCCTGCAGGGAAGAGCAGAGGCTGGCCAGCACCCCCAGGGCCAGGGATAGGGCTGGCAGGCTCCAGGCCCTGGCTCCTTATCTCGGGAAGCATCTGCCCCCCACTCCCCCCTCACCCCGCCCAGACTGTCCTTCAGTGGGTGCAGCTGCCTCTGGCTGGGCCCCTATAGGCTGGAGGCAGCCACCGCCGCAGCTGAGACCTCCCTTTCTCCCACAAGGAGCCGCAAAGTGGCTCTTCCCGCCAGAGGCCCCGAGGACAGCTGCCTGGGCACGGGGAGTGGGTGGCCGGGCCCCACCGCTGTGGCTCATTTGCCCAGCCGCTGAGAGACGCCCCTTGGGTCCTGCACAGGCAATGCCGCCCTCCTGGCAGGCCTGGCTCTAGGCAAATGTCACCTGGGGCCTGGCTGGGCCCAAGGCAAGCGGTGCCGGAGTCAGGAGGGCTGCAGGCCTCGGGGCTGAGACAGGCCTTCCTGGGAAGCAGCGCTGGACGGAAGACCCGAGGATGGGGCAGTGGGTAGGGACAGAGGGACCTGAGCTGAGGCTCAGAGCTGTAGTGTGTCTGGGGGGGTCTCCTGTGACCCCAGGGAGACATGGTTGGCCCCGGGCTTGGATGTGCCCCGGGGTCAGCACTTGCAAAGGACGGGAGTGGGCGCTTCGGCCATGGAGGTCGCTGGAGACACGGGGGGAGGTCGCCTGCACAGGCCAGGCCCGATCCCTACTACACGAGCTCAGGCTCTAGTGCAGGAGGCGAGTGAGAGAAGCAGTCAGAACTGGGAAAAGGCACATCAAGAACAGCAGCGGCGGGCAGGGCGGCTGAGGAATGGCGCCACTTCACGAAGGGGCTACGAAGGCCTGAGAGGCGACTGTGAGCTGAGCCGCTGCTTGGGGAGCGTGAAGCTGGGGCGGGGTGGGTGGGGGGCGAGGGCCTGGCCTGGGGCACAGGCGGGAGCCGCATCCTAACTCTGCCCGGACTTCAGGACACCACCTAGTTAAAACTCCCGCCAGCCCCTGCCCGGCTGTTTGGTCTCCCCCTCCCCCAACTGCTCCGGCTTCTAGAGCCTTCCAGCCTTCGCATGTGGGGAGTGGAGACACCAAGGGTCGGTCAGGGCGTGGGCAACCAGAGGAAGAACCGGGGGGCCCTAAGGCCCTGTCCCAGGGCCAGGAGGCCAGGGGAGCCCAGGCTGCTGAGGCCGCGTGATGGCTGCGGCACTCCCCAAGCAGACTTCTGAGCTGGGTGGATGCCCGAGGCCCCCCAAGATTCAGGACACGTACAAGGGCCACAGCTGAGAAGACGGTTTTAATTTTTATTATTTGTATAGTACAATCTCGGTGGGAGCAGAAACATAGGCACGAAAACAAGAGTTCAGAGTAAAACCAATCTGTAAAGGACATTCCATCCGTGTAGACGTCACAGCTGTCCACTCCCCGCGCCCCGCGGCGGATCTCATCGGGACGGCTGCCAGACGGCTGCCGGGTGAGGGGCCCGCCCACCCGCCCGAGCAGAGCAGGAGAGGCAGGGCGGGGCCGGCAGACAGGAGGCGCGGGCGCCCACTCGGCCCCAGCCGCCCCGCGCTCGGGCCACGCTGACCGCTGCCCCACAGCTGGGTTAGTAAAGCACATTCAGTCAGGGGGGCCCGGCACCCGGTGCACGGAGACGGTCAGTTCAGCACCCACGACAGGCGCCGGGAGCCGCACGCCCGGTCGGCGGCCGCAGCTCGGCCGCGGGCACCCGCTGCCCACCGGCTCCGCGGCAGGCGCGGCCCCAGGGCTCTCACGCCAGCACCAGGGAGCTGGCAGCAGCGCACCGCGGACGTCAACTCCAACCAGCGGGAGCGCGGCCGACCGCCCACGCCTGCCCTCTGCCATCTCGCGCCCAGCCCGGAGTGTAAAGGCCCCCTAGAGGGAAAGGATGCCGGGCGCCCGCGCTATTGCACTATTGTTCTCTATTCTGCTTCCGCTCTCGGTCAGAGGCCTAGTGAAACCGTAAACAAGATATGAAATAAATGTTACTCGATTTTAATAGTCTTTCGTATCATGCATGTCTGCTTGCGTGAGACTCCCCAGCCTTCCTGCCGCAGGCTCAGCAGCCGGAGCACAGACGGCCCCGCGCCCCGCGCCGTCCAGGGATGAGGTGTCCGCCGTGCGCCCAGTCACACCCCAAGTTTCCTCTTCTGGTCAAAATAGGCGTCAAACCTTGCCTGGGCGTAGTCCTAGGGGACACAAGTGAGTGCGGCTCATCTGGGGCTCGGGCCGGCCCGCCCGGCCAGGCCACCCACAGCCCGGCCAGCCAGAGAAGGGGTGCTTTGGCCCCAGGGTGCTGAGGTGATGCAGCTGCTCCCGGGCATGCGGCGAGCCCCTGCTGAGGGCAAGCTGCCTCTCCGGGCGCCGGGAGGCCGGTCCAAACACCCACACCCCCAGCACGTGCCCCGGGGCAGGAGAGAAGAAACACCCAGAACATACCATGTACCCAAACTCGATGGATGAGATCTTGGCCTGCACGATGGACCACAGTCCCCAGAAGAAGTGGGAGGCCAGCGCGAACCTGCAGTGGCGAGGGGGCGTGCGTGAGCGGAGGGCGTGCACGACGGGGCTGCGGCGAACTGACAGACAAGCCCCCGGCCCTGCGGCGGGGCCTGGGCCCTTCAGGGAAGCACCACGCTGCGCGGCCCCGCTGCGCTGCCACCCCAGGAGGGGACTGGCCCTCGCCCCCTCTCCGCCCCCCACTCGGGGCCTGCCAGGAGAGGAGCGGGCGGGCGGGCATCCGGTGGGATCACGCCCGTCACCGCGGATCCTAGTCTCCAAACAGCAGCCCCAGCCGGCTGGAGCGCCGCTCCTCCCGCACGGGCCAGACGCGGCCGCGTCCTCACCGCTCCCGCCTGTTCTCCTCGTGGCCCTGGCCCCGGCTGCCCTTTCCGTCTGCTCCCCACCACCTCCACTTTCCTGCCTCCCTCCCTTCAAGAAGCTGAAGGCAAGCGGCCTGCAGACGCCGCCCAGGGAGCGGTCAGGAGCAACGTCCAGTCGTTTTCTGGGCCCCCTAGACCAGGCCGGCACTCAGAGCCCTGCGGCTGATGGCCGGCGCGGGCGGAGCCGGTGTCCACGCCGGTGGCGGGCCCTCCTGGTGCTACTCTCCGCCAGGTGGACAGGCACAAGTGCTCTGTTTGGGGCAAAGTCAAGTCCCAGAGACGGAGGATTATACAGAGTTTCCGAAATGCCCCACTTGCGAGCGGGAACCCCAGCGCAGCCCAAGCTGCCCCCCACCCAGAGGCGAACGGTACCTATTGACTTCAAGTAACATTTCTTCTTCTACACTGGACTTTGCTTCATTACTGAGGGTTTCAAATTCATTTTGGAACGCAGCCAAGTAGCTGGAAATAAAATGGAGCTGGAAAGAAAGCCATGACGTTAGGATCGGTGACTTGAAAACAGGTCACGTGGACAGCTGCGGGGTCACCGCCCAGGCAACTCCGGGGCCGCGCCAGAGACGCCGGACGGGCCTGGTCACAGCGTCGATGCGAGCCCCGGGGCCCGTGCCGCGCAGTCGGCAGGGCAGCGGCAGGCCGGGTCCTGATCCCGACCTCGCCCACGGTCGGACCCGCAGCAGGGAAAGCCTCACCTGCCCTCCCAGGCCTGCCGGCGTTCACGCAGGTGTCCCCTCCGGCTGGCGGCGGTCAGGCAGGGTGGGGGCCTCCCACCTCTAAGAGCCACAGTCATTTACACACTCGGGCTCTGGTTCAGAGGAGAATCACAACCCAAGGGTCTGCCGGTCCCGCACTCGGCTGACAAGAAGGGACTCAGGAGGCCCCACGTTCCCGCCACGTCACACATCACAAGGCAACGGTGCAGCCTCCAGCGCGGTCTGCAGGCCAACAGGGCCGCCAGCCCTTCTCCACACGGTCCCCAGCGGCTGCTCCCCTTCCCCAAAGCCATTCCCAGCGCCTCGCCACCTCCCACCACTAGAAAGCTTCGTCCAGGTCCAGGCCTGGCCCTGGGCGGGCAGGGGCCCCGCGCCGAGCCAGGCAAGGAGAAGATGGCCGCTCGGGCCCAGTGGAGGTGCCACAGCGAGGAGGAGACAAAGCTGAGCTTGGAACCAGCCAGTCGTGGCGGGCCGGAGCTCGCGCCCAGACAGCATTACTTGAAGCCCATGCCTAAGGCAGCCTCAGGGGTTGATTTCTGGGAGATGCTAAATGCTGAAATTGGCAAATGAAAATAAAAAACAGGACTAGATCAGCACCCTAACGGAATAGTAATAAGTGACCCTCCCGCCAAAGAACTGCCAGGCAAGGACCATGAAGCTTTCAGAGATCATCTTCTATAAATTCATTCCAGAAAATAAAAGGAGACTCTCAACTCACTTTGTGGGACCAGTATGATCATTTGGATCCCAGAGCAGATAAGACAATAACTTTTTAAATGAGCATCAAAAGGTGCATGTCCCGTACGTGCAGTGACGTCACAGCCCTAAGCAAGCGCTCGCCGGACTGGCCCACCACAGGGCACACTATACTCAGCTGGGGTCACCTCAGGAATTCAAGGACGACCCGAACCTTTAAAAACATCTCATTAATAGACTAAAGGCAGGGCCTCCCCAGTGGCGTAGTGGGTTGAGTGCAGCGCTGTGAAGCTGTCCGCAGCTTCTGCGGCGCGGGTTCAATTTCCAGCCAGGGAGATTCCCACATGGCGCGACAGACCTCTCCTGTCGCGCCCGCTGCTCAGCAGTGTATTTCGGTCAGTCTGCCTGTTCTGTTCCCCGCTCTGCCTCTGGTGGATCCTCTCACCCTCCTGCGCCTCTGGCCTGCACCCCAGCTCTTGTATAAAAATTAAAAAAAAAAAAAAAAAAAAAAAAGGACTAAAGACAGACAGGCTACCTCAGTAGACACAGGTTATGTGGTAAAGAGCAACACCTACACACGAGTCTTGAAACCTCCCAGAAAACAGAAATGGAAGCACCTTAAATCCCCGCTGCCGGGCACCTCAGCAGGTAACAGGCTCCACCGCCATCCGTTAACTCTGCCATCTCGCCGTGACCCCCACTGGGCTCCAGCTCTGACCAAGCTACTCCCTGGAATCTGACTGGTCTCACAGCAGTGGGCGCCGCACCCTGCTGCCCACTTCCTTCTTCCCCGGGCTCAACGGTCGCGAACTTCCTCCAGCCTTCCTTCTGCCCCAGGACTCTGAGGGCTCCAACCGTCTTGGCCACCTCACTTGGACAGACTCGCGTTATCAGCCAGTCTAGAAATGTGGTTGATGCCCACAGCTTGGGGCAGGAGGGGGCTGTAGACACTGCAGCAGTGACTAAACCGCAGCACGCAAAAGGTCACTTCTCTCTGCTCAGCATGGACAGAGAAAAGTCAGCGACGTCCAAGAGGAAGGTCAGAAAGCGGGGGGGTTGGGGGGAGGCTGGGCTTCTCAGAGAAAACCAGGAGGACCCACTGAGGAGGCCCCTCTGACAGATGCGGCACCTCTGGCACAGAGATGAAAAAACCCAGACACAACGGTCAAGTGTGTGTTTAACAGAAAAAAATAACATTTGAAGCAAAAGGGCTCGCTAACCAATCCACAATTTCAAAAGGCATCTTTCAAGCGGAAGACGTGATCGCACCCGGCGCACCGGGCTCACCCAGCGACGGGCAGCCGGCACGCACCTCCTACCTGCTGCTTCCTGGTGGGGTACTTCTGGATGTTGGCTCTGAAAAAAGGGTACTTCTCATAGTTATAATCATACATCCACTCGCAGAAATGATTCCCGATGTCGAATCCCCTGGCAAGAGACAAGAGACAGAGGTGAGGCAAACGGCCTGACGCCGGCCATGTCCAGACGCCCCCGCCCGGGCCGGCTGAGGACCGGAGGACGGCGGCTCCAGGGGCAGGGACAGCCCAGGCCCCACCCGCATGCCAAAGCCCCCGCCTCCGCTCAAGCACATTCTCCGCAGCCAGCACCGCAGTGAGAGGAAGGCGGGCCGAGTCCGACGCAAGCGCCAGGCCCTGTGTCCTGCAGGCCGCGGCCACAACGGTCAGCCAAGCAGCAGAGCGGCTGCCCCAGGACGGCAAGCCCGGGGCGGGAGCACGGCTTCCGGGGGAGACCACCCGCCCAGAACACCACCGCCCACGTCTTCTAGTCATGTCATGGATGTCTCAAGACAGCGAGAATACTGAAATAAAACAACCGACTCCAACATTATTACCTGTAATTATAGCTGCTGTATTCAAAGTCGATAAGCATCAGTTTCTGCTTTTCAGAATTCTCTCTGCCATCCAGCAGTAAGATGTTACCTACAAAAAGGTTTGGAGGACACGGCTTTTACTCTGGGCACGTTTTCTGAGAAGAAGGTTCAAGCCCTCGAAGCGGGGGCCACCGGTAGGCTCCTCAGGGGCCAGCTCCAGGCCCCCTCTTGGCAGCGTCGGGCATCTGGGCTGCCGGGCAACTGGCAGGCCCTGGGGTGGGGCCTTGCTGGCTTTCTGGCCGCTCTTCCTCCTGGTCCTGCAGGAGGCCTGGTTCCTCGGTGGGTCAGCACTAGCCTTCAGTTTCCAGTGACCAGGAAGGAACTGGAGGCAGCGGCCCAAAAGAAGGCACGCTGGGCCTCCCCCCTGGGCCCACGGCTGACTTCCCACCGTCCTTTTCTTATCGGAGAGAAGCCTGAAGCCATTCATGGCACGCGGGCTGGCATTAAGGAGAAGCGCACTGACAAGCTGCAGGGCACTGCGAGCAAGGGGGGGTGGGGGGGCTAGCTCTGCTGTTCCAGATCTGCCGGGCCATTCGCTCGCTGAATGACGTGATTTGGCAGGATTAAGTCCTTTATCCCACCTCCCCGTTTGCGGAAGCTTCCCAGAATTTTCCTATGAATCTATTTCACAGACATGGGATGGCAGGCGACGTCGTCTAACACTTCCTTTTATATCCACGCATCCCGGAGATTCTCCTGCTGGTCTGCATGACACTCAGCCTCGTTCCTTTAACAGTCACGGAAGACCGCGCCGTGTGGCTGTGACACGTCACCTAACCCCCTCTCCCCGACTCCCAGCGCCGCCACACCCCATCCTGTACACCCCCAGCTTCAGCACAACAGGGCGCAGCGCTCACCTTCCTGACAGTCGTTATGACAAAACACGACTGGGGATGGAGTCGATTCCAGCAGGGACCTGGGAAGGAAGGCGTGCTGTTACTCGTGGCCCTGGCACGGCCGCCGCCCTCGGCACCCCGCACTATATCAGGGTGCATGTCACTGTTCACGTGAATCCTGCAAGCTCTGAAGAGGCGAGAGCTCCAAGGCAGCTCAGCCCAGACACACAGGCCGAGGACGCCCGGCCCTTGCCCACCACAGGGCTCCTCTCTGGGAGGACCCCGCCAGCAGGACCCCACGCCTGCCTCGTGCGGGTACGGACTTGGCCTGTAGGCCCCTCCCCGGCGCCGTCTGACCACTGCCCAGAGTGGTCCCTCCCTGTCGGTCTACCTTGACCTCTGCTTTCCTTCTCGGCACTTATCACACCTTGCCATTGTTTTATTTACTTGTTTCCTGTCTCTCCTACTACAACAGATGCTTCTTTTTTTTTTTTTTTTTTTTTTTTTTTTTTTTTTTTATATAGAGGCATGCTTTATTTATTTGTTTGCTGGTTTGTTTGTTTGTTTTTGTTTATACATGCACTGGGTACAGTCAGAAGTGCGGGAGGGTGAGAGAATTCACCAGAGCCAGAGCGGGGAGCAGAGCAGGCAGAAGGACCGAAGTACACTGCTGAGGGGAGCAGCGGGCGGCAGGAGAGGTCTGCGCGCCATGTGGGACCCTCCTCCGGTGGCCGGGGAGCAGCCGGGGATCGAACCGGCGCCGCAGAGGCCGCGCGCAGTTTCGCAACCCAGCGCTCAACCGCTGCGCCACCGGGGAGGCCCAACAGATGCTTCTTGAAGAACGTCTTGGTCACCATCTCCTCAGCACCAGTCACAATGCTGGATACAGCAGACACCCGGACGCGTGAGGAACGAAAGGTGTGCCTACACCAGCGTACACTAGAGGCCTGGGGACACACCCCCGTGAAGACACCTGGAGCCCCTGCTCGGGGACGGTGTCACGCTTCTCACTCCTGTTCCCTGCAGGGCCTGGGCTGAACTGCTCCTCACCGGGGCACACTCCTGGCTGCCCCTGCCCCCTCACCTGGGCACACTCCCAGCTGCCCCTGTGGTCCCTTTAGTTTTTTTTCCTGACAGTCCTATTCCCCGAGTCTCCAGCCACTGCTCTGCCATCTTACTCCCTCCGGGAAACCGCCATGCTGAGCAGACGTGACGGGCACGTGGAAACCGCGGTTCAGCCAGCAGTGGCTTCTGTTGGAACGCACCCTGCAGAGCAGTGGAGGCGCTGGCCGGAGGTGGGCGTAGGGGACGGCCACGGCAATGGCCTCGGTGAGAGAGTGATTTCTGGAGAGATGTCCTCACTAAGTCAAGCGAAGGAAGGAAAAACTCACCTCAGGTTTTCCAGTTCCAAAGGCAGATTGTAACTGAGGAATTTGTGGAGCTGCTTAACTCGGGACTCCCCGGTAAATTTAATTCTGAGCACTTGATTGAGATACCTGGCAGGGGAAGGAGCACAGAGGTCATTGCTTGATGACCGTGGCTTGTCCTTGCAGCGACGTGCAGAAGGCACCGGCACCCCATCTCCCTGGTGGGGAGGGGGCCGGGCGCGGGTCCGGGAAGCAGTCTCGGCCCACCCACCATCCAGCAGACTTCTTTTCTGCGTCAGGAACAGACCCTTCCCGGGTAAGAGCCAAACCCCATGCCTGACAGCGTGCACCGGCGGGCTGCGGCAGGGTGGGGGGTGGGGAGGTGGGGGGTGCCCACAGCAGCTCTGAAGCCGCCGATGCAGCACTTACTTTTCCATTGTTCCAAAGAGCCATTTCGGTTCCTTGTTGAACGGCATTTTCATGCCATGAAATGTGGCCATTTTCTCAGCTATTTCTGCAGAAATATCTGGCAAACTTAACTCCTCAGTATCTAATCGCCGGCTCTGGAAAAAGAAGGCAGTCAGAACACGGACTCTGTGCAGGGAACCTGTGCGCAAGGTCACAGGATCTTAAGAACCAGGGGCCAGTTCTGTGGCAGTTCTGTGGGTGCCTGTCTCCCTGGAAGAACAGGTACTGCGCGCGGTCAGTCAGTGACCCCGTGAGGCCGTGGCACGTCTCGGGTGACCCTTCGACCTTGAGAAGGTCCTTCTCACTCATACTCATCTCTGCTCACCCTCGACACCGAGCCCACTCTCCCCTGGGGTGAAGCTCCAGGTCTTCCACCTTGTTTTATGGGACCCAGCACCCAGCTCCTTCTTCAACTGGGATGCCCTGCTGACTCATCACAGGTGAGAGCCGGGGCCCATCAGGCAACAGTCAAAGGCGCGAGGAAGGCCCACCCCTGCAAGGCAGCAGGGCCAGGTTCCCTGTGTCTGCAGCCACAGCAGGAGCGCGCGGTCACCTGAGGCCCATTCATCTTCCAGTGAACTGCCCTGAGAGCGGCTGCTCTGAACACTCAGACAATACTTCACAGGGGTACAGGATGTCCCCAAGTTAGAGGAGTCCCAGCTCAAAGCTGGCCCTGGGTCAGCGCCGCACAGCCGGAGGCACTCTGCACCTGCTGTCCATCTCACCAGGTGGAGCGCAGCATCGGAGCAGAGATGCCGCCAGGGCCGGGCATCCTGCCCACAAAGGCAAGTGCCCACCGAGGGCACCGGCTTAACACCGGACCCTCCCTGAGCTGGCATCCAAGACGGGAGCAGGGCCGCGGCTGCAGTGGCAGGACAGACTCCAGATGCAGCTCTGCTGGAAACGCCAGCGAGGAGTCTGGCTGCGTGGAACATTCAACGCGAAGGAGACTGAGAAGGACCCTCAGAATTCCAGGCTCCCTTCCCAGAGCAGAGAAGGGCTACCACCAGCGCTCTCAGGGGCACGGCTCTCCGTCTGAAGCACGGGGCCTGCAGATGGCCCTCAGCTCACCCACCCAGCAGGCAAACCCAGGACTAGCTCAGAGAACCGGCTGGGCTGAGTGGCGGCCATGCGGGGAGTGGCACTGCGCGCTGGCCGCCACGGACAGGCCCAGGGTGTAAGAGGACTAAGCAGCCACCCTCACTGTGTGCGGGCCGACGCGGAGCACAGACCAGAGCAGGCGCCGCCCCAGATGGGCACCATGTCGGGTACTCCCGCCTGCGAGGCCGCTGCTGGGGCGTGTTCCCTGGCCCGCATCTTTCCTCAGGGAGCCGGGCACATGCATGCACACACAGGCGCCTGTTTAGTTTGCCTCTGTCAGTCTTTACTACAAGGATCTGACCGTAGTCCTCTGCAATTTGGTTTTATTATTCAATATTGTTTTAAGATTCACACATTCCCCTTGTAGCCATTCGGAGTGGCCAGTGTTTACAAAACTCTCAGGTACTTCAGCGACCGGATGTGGCTCATGTCTGGCAGCCGTCACCTCTCCACATGGGCTTTGTGAGATGGCTGCCAAGGAGAGCCCAGCCCTGTGACACTGGGGGCCACAGACCACAGGACGTGCCTGCCCAGGGCCGCGGGGTCTCTTGGAGGAACTCCATCCTCCAGGTCCGGCCAGACACAACGTGGAGCCTGGCCGCCGAGTGCCTGCCCGACGGTGCAGGCCTGCACTCAGGCCTGTCCTGGCACCCCTTGGGGCAGGCATGGCAGGAGGTGCGTCCTCGGGGGCCTCCTGCAGGGCGAGGAGGGAGAGCCCTTCCCAGGGCCGGGCGGGCACCTCAGTGGGCTGGCCGCGGGCTACAGCTTCTTGGAAACTGCGACTTCCATGAAACTCACGGCACGTGAGCAGCCCCAGTGCAGTGTGCGACACTGCCCTTTCTCATCAACTTTATGACGAGATGGTGTTGCTTAAAGGACTGCTGTATGTTTTTCACTTGGACGGACATATCTCTGCAGGAAAGACAGGTTCTGATATAAATTCAATAGAAAACGGGTTTTCCTTTATTTCTGACAGTTTCATAACAGAAATGGCGTTACTATTCCAGCCACGGCGTCGCAGCCCTGCAGCAGCAGGCATGTGCCGGCGGCTGCCAAGTCTTACCGGGATGAACTGCTCCAGGCGACCTTGGGGGAAGATGCCGTAGAGCCGGGGCCCCAGCGACCTCTCGGCAAGAATGGCGAACATGACGCTCTCCAGAACCATGGCCTCGGCCCCCTAGAAAAGATGGCACAAGGCAGATGTTCAGGGTGTGCGGCCTCATACCAGGCACCCAACGTGCCCCTGCCACCCCTCAGCAGCCCACGAGAGGGCAGTGCCCTGGAGCTGTCCCCATCCACACAGGAAGAGCCCAAGGCCAACTGGGCTCTAACATGCAGGGCCCAGGCTGGAAAGGCCAGGCTGTACCAATGAGATTTGAAAATACAAGTTTAATTGGGGTCACTGGATCCAAAAACAGAACCGTAACAGAACAGTATGGAGATTTCACTGTCTCGTTTATCTTAAAGCTTTTGTATACATCCCAGTCTTGGTGTCTTGTCAAAACCCGGACAATACCCTGGCTGAGGTCTGCTCCGGGGAGCACCTTCTGCTCCCCACTGCCCTGTGGGGCCAGGACAGTGGGAACTGCCGAGTCGGAAGAAGAATGTGCCGTCTGGCTCAGGAATACCCCGCAGGACCATGGGGCTTCCTATTTCTGGCTCTTATCCCTGACCGCCTCCTCCTGCCAAACGAGAGGTCTGTCCGAGTCCCAGAACTACCGTGGCACTGTAATCCTATGCCTTCAAAATCCATCTTTGGTCTCAATTCAAACTCATTCATCCCCTAAAACATGATGACACAGCTTAAAATTTTCCTTTTTGGGGGTTGTTGAACTGGCCAGAGAGTGCCCCTGAATCTATTAGGGAGCTATCACAAACAGAGGATCTCGGTTCTGTCTGAGGAGGGTCCCACAGCTGTTGTCTGGCAACACTCGCAGATGATTCTGACTCAGCCCTGTTAAGAAAGCTTTTGGGGGGCCTTCCCCGGTGGCGCAGCGGTTGAGCGATGGATTGCAAAGCTGCCGCAGCCTCTGCAGCGCCAGTTCAATCCCCGGCCGCCGGGAGAGGGTCCCACATGGCGCGCAGACCTCTCCTGCCGCCCGCTGCTCCCCTCAGCCGTGTGCTTCGGTCCTTCTGCCTGCTCTGCTCCCCGCTCTGGCTCTGGTGAATTCTCTCACCCTCCCGCGCTTCTGACTGTACCCAGTGCTTGTATAAATAAATCTTAAAAAAAAAAAAGAAAGAAAACAAGCTTTTGGGGGGGATTTTGGGGAAAGGTATACACCCCTGGAGAAATGCTGATCAAAAACAAAACAGAAACACTGCTCAGAATTACAAAAACAAACCCAGAAACCTCCTAGGGCACCCAGTTGGCAATGATGCATCCAGTCAGCAAGAAGACAAAGCAAAGACACATCCAAAGGCAATGGGTCCTCATCAAAGTGAAGTTACTCGATTTGTCGAAAATCCCCCACAATCACAGCCTGGGCCCTACCCTGTATGGCCCACAGTCACGGTATGCCCAGCACGTCGTGAGCCTGTTCTGCAGGTTTGCATACATGACAGTCCTTCCCAGCCCTATGCTGAGCCCCGAGACCAAAGCAATGGTATCTGGGGCCCCTGGGAGGTGACTGGTTGGATGAGGTCACAGGGTGGCATCTCCAGGGCCCAGCGTGCTGACACCTGAGGACAGAGCTGCATGCTCAGCCCCTGCACCGCGGAAGAAGGCAGGCCGGACGGTCATGAGTCCGCCCTTGCCCGAATGTGTTGGCCTCTGCATCTCAGGCCTCGGGTCCACCAGGCTCTAGGTTCTGGGGGCCCCAGCAGGCTGACCGGACGACGGCAACGCAGCCCAGCAGGGCCCCATGGACTCGAGCAGGGTATCAGGTGGCCCTTAGAGCTACAGCTCCGGGCTGCTGCAGGGCCAGCAACATGCCTGCGCTTGTCTGTCTGGTCCTGGCGCAAGCCGCTCAGGCACGCTGGCCCTGTCTGGCCTCAGAGGCCCCTGCCGGAGACGAAGGGCACTCACGCTGCCTGCGGCACAGCCAAGGGCTGTAAGGGCTGCGGGCCCCCACCTGAACAAGCGCAGAGTACGCTGGGCAAGGAGGCGCAGGCCGGGGGACTGCCCCCGGGGCCGCCAGGGCCTCCGCCGTCCCTACCACCTCAACCCAAACTCCTGCACTTTCCCCCACCCCTGCAGAGCGGGGCGAGGACTTCCGTCCGGGCGGCCAGAATTCTGTTGGAATTAAAACTTGTTCTTCAACTTCCCTCTGCGCAGAGACCAAGCTGAAGGGTGTTAATGTTGGCACCGCACAAACACCAGGGACCCTCAAAGTTGAAAAGGTCAGGCTTTATATTTAGATTTACACCCCACTTTATTACTGCTGTACGGCCAGTGCTCTGTACACACAGCACAAGCTAGGGGAGCCCCGGTGCGCTGTGTGGGCTTGCGCCGCCCGGATGGCCAGAGGCTCTGCAGGGTGCCCCTGCCTCTCAGCTCCCTCTCAGGCCATGAGGAAGGGGGATGGTGTGTGCAGGGAAGAGTCTGGGTTTTTTCATTTTGTCTCTTCTTTTTTTGGAGGGGAGACTAGCGAGAGAGAAAACGAAGCGACCAAGTCACGAGCAGGAGAAGCAGGCGGGTATGGCGGCTGGCAGGGATGAGGAGGCGTGGCAGCGGGCGCCCCAGCAGCTGCCGAGTCCCGACACCCTCCTGCCTGCTGCTAGGGGCGGCGCGCCGGCAGAGAGCAAGGTCGACCGACGGGCTCCGGGTCCGCCCCACCAAGCCGGGGCAAGCAGGCCGCAGGTCCAGCCACAGCTGGTGCGACTTCCCCAAGCTACTTATTTTGGCTTCAACCATTCCTACATTCACCCAAAAATAGCCACTGGGTGTCCACTGCGCGCCTGGCCCTGCCCCACGGTGCTCCCACGCTGGACGGGACAGGTCAACGGCGAGTCCGGGTGGATCGGGATAGTGGCAATGAGGGACAGAGATGCAACGTGACCAGTGGGTGTGACGGGGGACAACATCCAAGGAGGCGACAGACCTACCTGAGCGGTGAGAAAGCGTGAGAGACCCACAGGAAGCCCGGGCCCCGGCAGGAACGGGAGAGGCACTTGGAGCGCTGGGGGCCCGGGGGCTGGAGTAACTGAGGAGGTAGAAGTGGGCAGAGCAGGGTGAAGAGGCCAGTGGCCCTGTGTGGCTGGGGGATCGGGGGGCTGGGCCTTGCTCAGCTATCAACAGTGTTTCAAGTCAAGGGCCTGGCTGAAAAGGAGGGCCCGGCAGAGCCCAGAGCCACCGACGGGCACAGCAACACAACGCTTCCTCCCGACGCCACCACGGAGACACCAGCACAGGGGTACTGCACCTGCACCTTCACCTCCTGGCCGCCTGCACCACCTCATGGACCAGAGCAACAGACACGCCGTGTGTCCCGCCAGCAGCACGCAGCCCACCACCCACAGCCGATGAGGCAGGACAACAGGGAAAGCAGAGGAGGGCAGCAGATCAAGCGCTGCCAGCGGATCCTCCCTGGGCTTGGGAGGCAAGGTAAGAGCCGCAGGGGAGCAGGGAGCCAGGCTGTGGCAGTAGGGAGGGCATAGACAGGGGCGCCAAGGCCTGCAGCTCACTGCTGCGACAGGGTCAGGAAGATGCCCCGGAGCTGCACTACCCCCGTGCAGCCTGCCCCGCAGGGTCCAGCTCTGGGGAGAGAGCCTCAGAAGACGGGGTCAGCAGCAGACCCAAGCCCCCACACACAGGGCTTGGAGAAGAGACCCCGCCCCCTCCATCTGACAGCCACCGCCTCCCCGTGACCTGAAGGACCAGCTGCAGAACCCAAGCACCGCCTGCGCCCTGCGGCCCCGCGGGGGGAACATGCAGGTATAGAGCAGGACAGCTGCCGAGGCGGGGCGCCCTGACTGGGAGTGCGCCCCAGCGGGGGGGGGGTGGGCAAGGCGCAGCCAGTGCCCGTGCAGGCAGCAGGCGCAGAGCTGCAGTGCGCCAGTAAGGCGCCTCACGAGGTTTTGCAGCCATGGAACGTGAAGGGGAGGAACGTGGTGCTAAAAGCAAGACATGAGGGGAAAGCGTGGCCCCGTGGACGTGGCCTCTGGGAGAGCGTAATCAGATAGGAGGGTGGAGACAGGTGGGCGCAACGTTCTAGTCGAAGGGCCCCATCCGCAAAGGGCCTGTGGCAGGAAGAAAGCCGGTGGCTTAGGACACCTGGCGGGAAGCAGGGAGGGGAGTCGGCTGTGAGCCCGGGACCTGCCAGGACAAAGCCCACAGCCCGGCCTGAGCCTAGCAAGAGGCTGGCGCGGTCACAAGGGCACACGCCCTCGGACAGTGGGAGAGGGCCCATGAGGAGGGCGGTGGCTTGCAGGGGGCGCGAGGAGGTGGGGAGGAGCTCCGAGGTGCAGTTCGGAGGGAAGGCTACAGGCGAGGGCCCCGGCGGCCTGGCCTGAGCGGAAAGGACGGATTCGGAGTTCACCGTGACGGGGAGGAAGAGCTTGCACCCGGTGAGACACGCCAGGCGAGCCCCGTGGTCCCATGAGGGTGCAGGCTGGCAGGGCGCAGCCATCCGCTGGCGTAGAGGGGAACGCCAGGACAGGTCTGGGCCAGGAGCCTGGGGACAAGGGCCACCGACAGAGGGTCTCGGGCCTTCAGCGCTGAGGCCAGCTTGAGGACCAGCCTGGAGGGGGGATGGAGAGCGGGAGGGAGTGAGGGCCTTCCCTGGGGCGCGTGAGAGGAGGACGGAGGCCCGCGAGGATCCAGCCTTCCCACGGAGCAGCCCCCACTGCCACCAGGAGACACCAGGTCCACAGGCGGAAAGCTTGTGGGGATGACAAGATGGGGTCACTTTCTCCCAGCAGCGTTTCCTCGGGCCCCTGGGGCACATCCCGGCTCCGCTGCACCAGGACCTCAGAGCAGGGCCGTGCAAAGCCGTCCACGGACGTGCGAGAAGATGGTGGCACCTCCACTCTGTCACCTCACCCCTTGTCGCTTCTCTTCCTGAGCGTGTTTCATGCAGCCAGCAGCGTGGAGTCCGCTCAGAAGCCGTCTACTCCCTGGAGGGGCCGTCACTGGCCCGGACTCCCTGTCTCTGAGCTGGAGGGGACGGTGGCACCTCCACCCTCCAGGAGGCCCTCGGCGAGCAGCCGTGTGCACAGGCCTCCCAGCCTGGCGGCCTC